CTCACCAGCACTAATCCTCTACTCACCAGCACTAATCTCTACTCAGCAGCACTAATCCTCTACTCACCAGCACTTATCTTCTACTCACCAGCACTAATCTCTACTCTCCAGCACTAATCCTCTACTCACCAGCACTAATCCTCTGCTCCCAGCATTTGTCTTCTTTCTGGATGGTGTTTGCCAGCAACATGATCTCATGGCGGACCAGAGATCCCTAGGGGGAGAGTTCAAGTAAAATCTAGAAGTTTTCTGATAGCTTTAATCGCTAATGTTCATGGGAAATGGCCTTTTTTCTATTTATGTTACTGAAGATATTTCTTCTACTATCTATCTCAAATTTACCCTTTTCAATATTGTCTTATTTCTTCAGTAACATTAAAACATTGCACCTCTTTCAGAAAATTGCTTACGTTGCTTTTTACACAAAACAAAGCATACAAGGACAGAAAAATGGCTGTCACATAATAGAATTCATTTCCCAATTTATCAACCTTCTTAATATCTATCCTAAAATGTAAAACCACGGTCTAAACAGTCACATACCAGGTCCATATTGGGCAGGTAATTCTTCATAGCAGACATAATTCTTCCACAGAGGATGTTATTCAGGTTGTCCGTGGCTTCGGGGTTGTCCTTGGTCAGCAGACAGACCAGCTGACGGACATCATTTCTCATCAGGAGGGAGCCCCGGCGCAGGTTGTAGTTCACCAACTCCTTGATCAGGCCCTGAAAACAGAGATCTCCAGTATGGTACAAAGAACCAATAACAAACAAATTTCTAAATCAATGCTTATGGAGTTCTCGACCTATAAAAATAATCTGCCAACCTGTCACAGCAGCTCCACACAACAGGTATCAGATGGTGACTCTACTAACAACTAGAGTAGCGCTGTGTATTGTTTGGTGCACAGTGAAATAAAAGCCTGTAAATAGCACCAACAATAAACATAACTGTCTTACCTCTTCACACAGTATCTGCCTGAGTTGTGGGTTGGTGCTGAGGGCTCTAAGCAGAGTAACGCAGTGCTCCACAGCAGAACTGGAACATCCATAACACTGGCCGGACGCCATCAGCCGCAGACTGGAATTATGGAGCATCATAGCAATAACAATGGTCTCAAACATTAAATCTTTGACCATAGCACCCAGAAAGCACAGGCCTCTGCTGATGCAAAGCAATTCTCAAAATTGATAAAATTTCATTAAATAAATCAATAAATCACCACCAAAATCTAATCAATCTAAGTAAGGATTTCTGACCTATTCCTAATTTTTTATGAAAATTCCTCCATAACTTTTTAAAGATAGGCTGTTAACTAACAAACCAACAAAGGCAAAAATTAAATCTCCCTGGTTGAGGTAATTTTGGTCCATTCACCAATACCTAATTCAGCAATGTTTCTACAACAATGCTGATTCATAAAATTTTTTATAACACAATACTTTCAAATGCTCACTTTTGATATCTATATAAAAACTTCTACACCAAACTGTTAAATATTTTTAGTAATGAATAACTATAAAATCTTCTCCATCATGACACTTACCTTTGTCTCATCACAGGCTCACAGGGGGCGCCATCTTCATCATGTGACCCCAGTCCAGTCTGCGCCAGGGCAACAGTGGCAGCCTCTTTTTGCTGCCTGTCATATTCTACCAGCTCTTTACGTGATGCCAACACTTTCTATAATAAAGGAAAACTATGTCAGAATAAGGCAGATAAGAGGATATAAGTATGGCACAGCATAAGTATCTGTGAGAAGTTTCCATACTGACCTGTACTACTACAACATACAGATACCCGTCTTATCATTTAGCTCCAATAAACGGTGTTTTTTTTAACTTTCCATAAAAAAAAAACTCATATCACTAACAATGACTATACATCCCTATCCTTTCAAATATTTTCCATATTTAACACATATTAAATAACCTATATTTTTTATTTATTTCATCAGTCTCATAATGTTGGAATACCTGTATTATCTTGCTCAGCTCATCAAAGGAGGACTTGCAGTCCCCGCAGTACTTCTGTGCCAACTGCTGTATACATCTGTTGACACTAGAGCCTGCTGCTGTCCCTGTAGTTACAGCTACCTCCTCCTGTAATATACAGAACCAAAATTAAAGCATTTTTTTGAAAAACAAAAAAGTTCTGAAACTGATCACTTTACAATTTTCAAGTAGTACAGTACTTTGTACCACACCAGTTTCATTAGTCCCATGCTGTAATACTACAGGGGGAGGGGGGTGGATTTTCTCAAATTCAATCCAGTTAAATGGCAATGTAGAGCATGGTACCCTGTTAAGGTGACTCTCCTACATAACAGCCAGACTACGAAACTGTCAATCTCCCAAAATGAAGCAATGAAGAAAACTGCCATTCAATGTGAGAAGGGCCCAAGGTACCAAATATTTCCCTATGAGCACTTTCTAAGAGTTCTCTGGTCCGAGGACCATCTGGACTCACCAGTAGCCTGTCTCCGCCATGTTCAGTAATCCTGATCAGCTGTGTCTCCAGGGTGGGTCTGTTCATTTGGAGCTGCTTGTACACACGGTCCGCCTTCTCCAGCAGGTTATTGATGGTCTGGATGGCCTGGAAGATGGAAGGAATATCATCAGGAGAAACAAAACCAGTAAAAAAATTCTCTAATCTAAAATGGACTCAATACTTATTTGTTCTCAAATAATACATTACTGCTGCAAAGAGAGACCACAAAAGCCACCGTTAACCCCCCCACCCCCCATAACGGAAAATAGCCCATGAATACAAAATATGCAACACATTCAGAAATTTTAAATTTACCAAGTTTTTAAATAATTTTACAAGCCTGTAATCCACAAATAATTCCACAAAACTTGATGAAATTTAGCCATCTCAGAATTCTGCATCCAACCAAAGGGAATAACACAATACAGGCGTGTTTCAAGACCAGGTTACAGGTTGACCTACCTTCTTCCTGTCCTCCTCATTCTCAATGGGGTCCACGGCACAGCAAGGCTTGGCGTACATGGTGAAGTCAAACTTGGCATACTTGCAGAAGCCACAGGAGTTACACAAGAATGGGTCCTTTTCATCATAGTTTATGGCCCTAGATATGAATGAATGTGATGAGATTTCAGATTCATGAACATAACACATCACAATGTCTTAAAATGCCTACTCAGTTAGAAAAAATTATATTCAAAAATCGATAAAACTAATTTTTGGGCTTTAGCATCTGTTACCAGATTACCTTAAAGTATCTCATTCAACTGTCTATAATTTACATGTAATGGTAGGATCTCGCTGTAGACTGATTTCTACACTAAGATAATCCTATCAAGGTTCTTTAATTCACCAGATGTGGCACCACCTCTTGAATACAGCCCACATTTACACCTGGCTCATAACAAACACAACGTTACCTGCACTTGTGGCACTGGTAGACGTTCTCTCCACAGTTTCCACAGACCCCAGGGTTGGCTGGTACAGATACACTACAGCGGGGACACTGCAGGGTCTCCACCGAGGCCTGGAAGTTGTCATAGAAGTCGGCATACTCCAGCATTAGGTTGCAAGCAACGATGGGCAAAGGGAACTCAATCTGGGGAGAAAAAAGATATAATAGTTGAAGATTCAACAATTGTTTCATTAATAGCTTAAGCATTTTTTTCTTTTCACTCTCTCTCTCTCTCTCTCTCTCTCTCTCAAACACACACACACACACACACACACACACACACTTTAAGCTTTATTTCAAATTAACTATAAAAGTATAAATATGTACCTTGGCTTCAGTCTGTCCTGCAGTAAGAGTCACTCTCTTGGCTCTGTGCCACAAATCAGACCTACAAATGAAAGTTTCATGATTATTTGACAGAATTTTTGCGCCAGTTGTGCAGCATAAAATGCCCATTAACTGTAACATCTGCAGCTTCTAGTTAACATCTTAATTCATGTTCCATCCCAATGCGCTGTAAAAAATGATAAATTTGCTTTAATTTATATATGACTTAGCTATATTATAACGTACTCTTCACAAGAATCTCCATATAACATTTTATCATAAATCATATTCCAACATAAATTATCACATTTCACAAATCACATTGCACAGCTATAATACTCAACAAGTGCTTGATATTCTATTACAAACTAAAACTACAGACAGTCTGATTTTTAAAATGGGGCCAAGTTGAAACACTTAAAATTTTCAATTCACACACCTATTTTTCAGCTCCACAATCCCCTGAACTGATCTGTTGTTGTAGTAGATATTCAAGGTACGGACCTGGACACAAAGACAAAACAAATCAGAATTTTAATTATTTACAATTGTTTCTTTGCACAAAGAAACAGAAGCTTTATGTAAACATCAAATATTACAATGCATGCTGGTTATATGATAGACCCAAGGCTTATTCCTGCTTACATTTTTCTATTAAACTATAATGGTAATACTTCCTTCACAATTGTTTCTAAAATGTGTGTACATTCCAAAAATTTAGACTTCTATTTAGCCAATAAGAGTCTGATTCCTAATTCCTAGGTGAAATGTATGAGAGCTAAGTAAACCAATCAGCCCATTCTTTCCAGGAGAGTTCTTGCATCTAATTAAAAATTATTTCCAAATTCTGAGAAATCTTAACACATATTTAGTGTCAAGTTCAGCAGACAACCCACCATCTTGGTTCTCTTCAGGTCGGTTATCTTCAGTGATATCTTGGAGATGGTGTGACTTCCCACTAGTTTCACTATCTGAGTGGTGGTGGTGAACTTGGAGTCCACCTTGATGGCAGCAAGCTTCAGATTCTGGAAAAACATATTCCTTAGAGTCAAACACCACATCAAGATTTTTCTTCTTCTATTACTGCGAGCCTTTAGATGTGCAAATGAGTGTGTAACAATTTGATGAGTACTTCAGTTTTGCTATGAAAGAGGATTATAGGTAATATGAATAGGATGAATAAGATCAATGTTACATCCACTTACCTATGGCCAAATACTTTGTTTTGAAATTTTTTCTTTTACAAAACTCACAAGATCTAATCAAACACTGACAAAACTTACTTCATGTAACATTTATAATCACTTACATTATATGGGACCTCAGGGTTGTTACACACCAGACAAGGGTCGCTCTCCAGGTAGTAGCCATCAAATTCCACCAGCCCCTGCAGCATACTGAAATAATACAGCAGATTACTTTCAATTCTGGAAAAAAATATTTCTTTTTCAAGACTGAATTACATTGATGCCAAAATATTTCTGGTCATTCATTCATTTCACCCTTACAAACTAAATGCAGCAAAGACTTTCTTTGTCAGTTATCCCATTATCTCTTGCAATCCTATTCTTTAACTGGTCAGAATAAATATGTTACGTATATTAAAGGTCTCAGCAGGCATCACATAGACAATCAATACCAAACATAAAATTTGCACTATTTTAATAATTTCTAGTCTTTCCAACAAAAAGTCGTTTAAGACAATCTATTTAGTGTGGTCACCCTTACTTGTATATGCTGGCATTGGGATGGTTGGCCAGGATCTGGTTCTGTCCTCTCAACACATCCACGGCTTTCTCTACAAACTCTTTACACCTCCGGTCTGAGCCCTGTGGGGTCTTGAGGACAAAGTAGCCCAGGAGGTCCACAAATTGGGCAGTTTTCCTGCCATACGAGGGCAGCTCTGGCCATATATTCCACATGAGACACAGCAACGCCTCCTGCTGGCTCAGGGAGGAATTCCTAAGAAGAAAATTTAGCAAAATATAATGAAAAGATTTTAGTTAAGTTATATTTTTTATTTTACATTACATCAATTTTGCTAACACAATGAATTTTGAAAAGCAACTAAGTAATCTTTCCAATTTGGAAAAAAAAAGATTCTATATGTTTCCTTATATTCAAATGCATTTCTAGGATTGTGTTTTTGCTTTGCGCACTGTGGAAATGCACCTCGGTAGTCAGATGAAGAATGCATTCAACAGAAAAGTTCACTAATATTTGTTTTCAAAAACTGAACTCTTCTATAATTCTCCAATGCTACATTACTATCTGAAGACATATACACAACATGCTTTCAGTTATGTGACTGCCCCTCCTTAATACTACATTTTCTCTCCGTTTAAGTGAATATGAAAGAAATATATATGCATATATATATTTGTAAAGCTGTCTATAATACCTGTAAATGTGCAGTACCAAGGCGTGAGCCTGCCAGCGCACAGCTGTGGAGTTGGACTCCAGAAGGAAAGCTCTCATAAACTGAATCAAGAGTTCACGATCTACAAACTTGTTGACTTGTTGAACTAAGATAATGCTGAGGCCTTCATCATGTTTTGGTGGCGCTTCTTCTCCCTCTGAAAAGGAATAATGAGGAAAAGCAGTTTAATTCTCAGGTAAAAAATTAAAACAAAGAAAATGATTTAATTAGTAATAAACACATTTTCACTTTAGAAAAAAAAACAACTTAGAAATGATCCCTGCAATTATTCACACATTCTGAAACACCATTCTATTTTCACCAAATACAAAGGTACAAAATTATTAACCTAAAATGTAACAACATATACCAATAGTTCTTTTTTTCCTCAATACATTCAAAAATATCCCAAAGCTAACCTTCTGACTTCTCTTTTTCCTTCTTAGCTTTGGCAGAGGCTCCTGCTGGTGGGGCTTGGAGCTGGCTTATCTTGGTACCACAGAGGGCACACTGCAGCAGCTGCAGCAACACTGGCGCCACCCCATCACTCAGGCAGATACTAGCCTGGATCAGGAAGGACAAGATGGTGTCCTCCTTGTGGCAGAACTTTTGCCAGTTGGCAGTCCTGGTGGTGGCAATCTCTGCACAGGACTTCAGCTGTTCAATCTGGGAATAAAATAAAGTAAATAACCTCTAGGATCACCTTACATTCCTGAGTCATCTAGGAATTTTCAAAAATTTGTTTCAAATCATTTGCTAACCACTGGGTATTTAAACGAACAGACAAAACAATCTGTTCAATCAAGTATGAGATCTACAGTCCTCACCAGTGTTATCAGCTGTTCAATCTGGCAATAAAATGTCAAAGTAAATTACTTGTAGAATCACCTTACATTCTTAAGTCATCTAAGAATTTTCAAAATTTTGTTTCAAATCATTTTTCAACCACTTGGTATTAATATCAACAGACAAAACACAATATCTGTATAGCCAAACATGAGATCTACAGTCCTTACCAGTGTTATCAGTGTGTCATATGGTATGACAATAGGGTGAGTGCTTGGCTTGGTGACATTCATGCCATATTTCTCACATATGTTCCTCACTTCCTTCATGTAGGCATCCAAAGCATGCATGTCCCGCAGCTGACGGTATTTCTCTTTGGACCCGCAGATGAACAGAAGGAGCTGAAAATTAGAGACAATATCACACTTGATGAGAACCAAAGACAAATACATCTTATCTAAAAGATCCAAAGGCAAATGTGAATATTTAATATTCAAGGTCAGCAGGCAAATTACATTCAAATGATAATGGTGTATAACTGAAACCAATCTTTAAGCAAAAAATAACATATTAACTATCACCCTGAATTTAATGATAAAATAGCTCTGCTTACCACACAATCATCTAACTTTGCAATATGATAAGCCAGTAGTTTCAACTGTTTTTCTATTGAACTTACTAAGAGAAAATTAATAGCCAGTAAAGTCGTAGCAGGCTAGCAGAACCCCTACCTTTCTCACTTGTCTCTTCACAAATGGCGTCTGCTGTGTCATCATGTACTCCGACAGCGTCTGAAACCAAACCTGGTCAAATGAGGGTGACGCCAAGCTAGGGCTGGCATCCGCTATCTTCTTGATCTGATACGGCAGTCTGAGGACCATCTCTGTCAAGAGCTGGGGGTAGGCCTCAAATACGTCGTTTGCGTGCCCCTTCACATACTGTCGTAGGAAGAAGGGGGACATGTCAGGTGGCGGGGTGGTGGGGTGACTTTTCAACAGTTGTCCTGGTACTGAGGCAGTGTCCTGAATAATACAGATTACACATAATGGTGACCTAATGCGTTGCCTCTTATATAATATGGTCACATGTTGGTACTATCAAAATTTAATGCCCAAAGTTTCACATTTACACCAAATCATGCCCATATATTTATTACTTGACCAAACCCAATAAAGTTTCATTGCCATTGTTCATGAGACTTTTTATTTCAAAATTCATAAATAGTGGAGAAATGCTTCAAATATATATACCTCATCAGGAGGCAGTTGCTTCCAGTAGGAGTGCAAACTCTTCAGTGTGTTGAGGCAGTAATCCACAGAACCACAATGCAGCAGGGCACCTGCTGTGCTGGAACTAATCAGAGTTGGTGGCTGGAATATAATACATACATAATTAGTGATTACTTTAAGCAATACTTATGCCATAAAACACCTACTGTAATGGGACTAGTAAGGGAGGTAGGACATGATTCCAATAAAACTGAAATTTACAATGAAAATATGGAGTATTTTTCAGTCATATCAACACGCATGCAGTTGCTTTCAATATCGCTAATAACATAATGTCATAATTCTCACATAAATACATAATTAAAAGTAATCCATAGCTGTATAAGCAAGACCATCAAAATCCTAAAATACACAGACATAAAATATATAAAATATTTGTGTCTACCTCCCCAGAGGGCTTCATGCCTGCCCGTGTTCTGGACATGAACACACTGAGAAGGCGGAGAATTATCAGCTGAACCTCGTTCACATTTGTTCTGGTCACAACCTCCTGGACATTCTACAATACAGCGAGTGTAGGTTAAATATTGTAATATTAATAGAACTGTACTAGAAAAGGCACTTGATATTAAATTTTGACCTTTAGGAATAAGATTGCAGATCAATATTATATCAATACTATAAATGTAGCTGATTATTATATCATGATGAATCTTCATACATTTTACAGTTACTGCATTGAAAATAATATCACTGTTTTTTTTCTCTTGTATAAAAACTGTCCACAATTGGTGATCGTGCATCATGTAACGGATGGAAAACAAAATATGAAAGGTAAAATATGGCAAGTTATTGGAGTACCTTGAAATCCATCTGTTTGAGCAGAGCTGTGAGCAGGCTGTCCAGTACTGCCTTGTCCCTCTCCTCCTCACTGTCCAGGTCAGAGGTCAACATCAGGAGCACCTACAGGTCACATGATACTATATAATATACCACTATAGGTAATATGATACTACATAATATATCAGAGGTCAACATCAGGAGCACCTACAGGTCACAAGATACTATATATATTAGAGCATCAATATCTAAGGTCAAGTCTGATCAGAAACAGCTCCGCTAATATCACTAGGCAACCCAACTGGATAACACATGAATAAAATATCTAAGGAACATTTTGATCCTCTGTGATATTTGGTATACTAAGTCAGACTGTTTATGGTCTAAACTATACTCTGTGAACACAGCCAGACATACACACCTGCATAAAAGGTATGGCTCTCACTCCACCAATGTTCCTCAACTCTGTGATATATCCTATCATCTTTTCTAGCAGCATTAGACGCAGGTGGTGCAATCTGAAATATAATAAGTTGGATTTATCAGGTTAATCCTTGTTATAGCAATGATTTAGGATGTGCTTAATACTGTATATTATAATTACAATATGAAGCAGGAACAACTATTTAATATTATCATGTGTACTAGCTGTCTCTTCAATCCACCAACAGTATATCTTATGGTGTTTTAAAATATTAATGTTTATGAATGATATCAAAAGTAAAGTCATGAGATTTAATCTCACTGTTGATGAACTAGACATCAGCTATTTTCTTTCTAGTAGTGGCCACAGAGAAAAATTTAATTGGCTGATGAACGTACTCTATACTCTAGACATTCATTGGAATATTAGGGGTAAACAATTTCAATATAAGCTGTTGATTGAATAATATATTACTACTTTATTCTTGGTAGTGCCCTGTACTAACCTGTGGCTAGTGTCATTGTCTATATCCGGCTCACAGATGTCAACCTCATATCTCATGGATCCCGAGGGTAAGCCAATACTGCTGGTCTCACTGCGCGGTCCCCCTGCCGTGTCCCTCTCCTGACCGCCATCACCATAGGCACTGCTACGACCACTCACTGGAACAGTGAAACCTGCATTAAGATAGGAAAACCTTCTGTGCAGGATACAATGGATAACTTAATGCTAATCTTAATATGATTCATGAAATAAAGATGCTGGACTTCTGAAAAAAATTAACGCAAAAAAACAAATCTGTGAAAAAATTTCAACCATCATATTTTGACTATACGCACCATTCTGTTCTCCAGACACAGATCCACTTGCGCTCCCTCCACTCTCCGACCCTCCCTGTTCTGCTGGGGATGTCCTGAGAGTTGACCCCTCTGTGGCCGCTGTACTGCCTGCCTCATCGTCACTGGCCGGTGCTGATGCCGTCGTGTCTGAATAATGGCTGCTGTGGTCAGTACCCTGCCATGGAAAATATCTGTATCAGTGAATCATTGGGATAAAAGATTTTGTTGAAATGTGTGTATAAAGGCTGTGACAATTATGGTGTGTTTTGCAGGATATCATGGCATTTTTCTGACGCATTTATTGTAAACATCTGGTTAAATATCAATCTGCTGTCTCCAGGCCACTTGACATGGCAGTGATCTCATGAGAAATTCAAACTAAATTAGGAGCTACCTGGACAATGAAAACAAAATTACAACAAAAAAATTGACCAATCTGCATTAGTTGATGGGTTTTCTATAATATTAGTATGCAGTTTACAAAAAGCAACAAAAGGGCAACAAAAGGGACTACAGTTTTGTAGAATGCATAAAAAACAGACAGAAAAATAATATCCAAAAAAAGTTTAAAATAAACAAAAGAGGAAATTGATTATTCTTTCCCCCAATCCTTTGAAGCTGTAGGTAAAAACGTGCACGATTGTCTTGGAAGCTGTTTCTAACACTTCCTTTAACACATTCCATTCAAGTTTGTGTAAATCTCACTTACAAAAGAAGTTTTCAATTACAAACTCCAAAGTCAATTTAGTCTGACGTACAAAAAATTTCCAATTGTAAATTTTCAAGAAACATGCCATAGCCCCTCCCCCAGTCGATTGCAATCCACTTACTTGTCTCTGTGCTCCCAAGCTCAGCCCCTGTAGACTCAGACCGCCCTGCTGACCCTAGGGGACAAAATAAAACGTCCAAACCATGCTCTAAATTAAAGGCCATGCTAATGGCATTTAACTTCAACTGAAAATATTTACTTTAAAACTTTTATTGTGAGGGAAATGCGTAAATCAAGGCAACCATGACAACAATTCAACCAAAAATTAAAACACACTGTGAGGGTAAGCAAAACCTTCAACAGAACTGATTGCAACTTAAAAGGTAGATGAATATATTAACAAGCATTGAAACAATGAAGAAAATTAGGCAGAGAGCAGAATATATTAAAGCTTGCCAAGGGTAATCCAGCAGATATTCACCAAAAACAGGAAAGGTAAGGTCTTTCTAATAATCTTGTTCATAGGGATGTAAAACAAGTTAGGTCATATCTATTCAAAGAAACCATAACAGCAGTGAGAAACCAAAAACATAGAACACTATTTCTGCCATACCAGCTCACCTATTTCTGCAATATCATCTTATGTTTAATCTTATTTTACTCACTTAAGAAATAACTCCTGTGTACATAAAAGATCTAGATCTTTATCCATTGAAATTTTGATGGCCAAAATTTTGTCTTCCATCAGACACCTCGTTTTACAATTTTCAAAGACCTACATCAGGTATGGATCTACTCTGGACTACTAGAACTTACATGTACACAGAATTAAACACATTAATAAGATTCACTATTGCTATTCAGTTATTTCCAATTCAAAGCCCACCTGTTCCTGGAGACTAAGAGCGATGGCCAGTTCCACCATGGCCTCATCATCAGCATCAGGGGGGATGTCCAGCACAGGAGGGTAGTTCATGCCCCCCATGTGGGCCCCCATATGGGCCCCAAGGATGGCCTCCAGTGACGGCCCTCCTGGTATGCCAGCTTCAGGGGGCTCCAGTATCATGGGTTCTGGATGTTCCTGTAATGATAATATACAGCATTCCTGATATTCTGGGGATGTATTATGGATAAAGTAAAATTTTATGTGAAAAATATGTTATGACTGCTGACTCTGTGTACTCCAGTACAGAACAATTTCTTTTTAAAGGATTATGAACCTATAAGTGCTTAGTCTTTGAGAATATATCAAAGGTTGACTCATCATAGTGCTCAATATACTGAACCTCATACCACCACCTCATGCTGATCCTCATACTAACCACCACCCCATACTGATCCTCATACTCACCACCACCCCATACTGATCCTAATACTCACCACCACTTCATACTGATCCTCATCCCTATCCTCCTCATCCTCCTCCAGTTCTGGGGCAGCTATCTGGACAGGCTGGGCAGACCTGGGTGCAGCAGGAGGCTGGCGGGGAAGTTCTCGCTCAGTTTTGTCCTCTTCTTCCTCTTTAACACCTGAGGTCAAGATGAGAATGCAATGATTTAACATCGTTTCATCTTGTCTATGTTAATATTATTTTTACCTAATGCTTTAAAATCTTCCACAAATTTGTGCAAGATTCATCATGAGGTTACAGAAAAACATGCTGTGTTTAAATGTTAATTTCATATAAAGAAATACTGCATCTATAATACAATTATACATACTGACCAAGAAATGAAGTGAACACATAAATACAACAAACAAACAAATAAATATAAAGATAAGTTACCCACCAGGAGTGCTGCACCTTGGAGGGGAAGGAATGAAGACTCTCTTCCGCTTGTGTCTTGGTCTCAGCATTCTAATCATGGCCAGCTTGCAGTAGAAACTCACTCCTGGATCCTGGGACAAGAGTTAGAAAGATGTTTTTTAACAAAATGTAGACAAGCCTTGGGTTCAAAATAACCTGTAAAAATTCTCAACAAATGTTCATAATATTTTTAAAGAAATTTATGATTGTGTTGTTCTTTTCTACATGCAATTAATTTTGTGTGTGTAGAAGGGGGGGGGGGAGGGTTTCAAAAACAGCTGTTGGTATATACATCTTGGAGGACTACCTCATCTTATATCAATAATAAAATTAAGAATGACAATTACAAAATACCAATTCACCATATACTGTATCACAGACCACCCTTCAAACTTACATCACACATCAGCATCCTGACGTACAACTTGGCCGCCAGGTTCACATTGTCCAGGTCACACGAGGTGAAGGCGTGGATGATCTCCACCAGGGCTGCCACTGTGGCCTCAGTGTGCACCAAGCCTAGAGGAAGGAATGGGTGAAAATTCTAATACGTGACAATTCTAATATCTTTATTCTGTTAGAACTTGAAATTTCTGAACTTAGAAATGAATTTCCGGGTCTTAAGTCCATCATCAGAATGTCATAATATGAAATCCAAAATGTTACTGACTTATGGTACAAATACCACTGCAAATTTTGTGTTACCTTGAATATGCAAGGTGCCAATAGTACAGATAACTTAACTATGGAGATCTATTATATGAACCAAAGTATTTACAGTATGGAGTCATACTTCATGATCCAAAAAGCCAGCAGGGCATCAAATATCTATACCTCCAAAATAATGAATTATATGCCCTTGATTTAACCTGGCATGCAGATAGGGATCATCTCAAAACAATAACTAGTCTTAAATAGTGACAGCAGGCCATTAAATATAATCTTATCCTTCCCGGCCCCGGTTTCACAAAAAAACTTCAGTCAGGTTCCCTGGCTAATAACTTAATTACCATGGTTACATGGTCACATCTTACCCTATCAGGAGCAATGTAATAGCACTCTCATGGAAATCCTAGTCAACTAAGCCAGGGAACTGACTTAAGTTTTTTTAGTGAACTCTTCACATTACCTGGGGCACAAACTGGTGCCAGGATAGGATTACGGGGTCTTGCTGCGTGAAGCTTCCAGAAGGCGTCCACCAGCTGGACAACAAAATGGCCAGACTCGGACACGTCCAGCTCCATGCTTCTGGTCAAGGTTTCTGTGTGGTCATCTGATTCAAGGTCGGTCACTTCCAGAGCTGGAAGACATGATTGTTTCTTGCTCATAATGTTATCAAGACTTCTATTTTGCCAAGTTATGAAGTTTACTTGGATGAATGTACATAACATGTATATACGCCAAAAGCTCAGTATGCAAACTCTCCCCTTTTAATTACTTGGTCTATTCCTAGGTAAAGAGCACACATTGCAATGTGTTCAAATAAGGTATTTCAGAAGTGCCTATTCCAAAAAGCCTGCACACAGGACATTAATTAGTCAAAGTCTACTTTATATTTGAATTTAAAAAAATGATTTGGGGAGTAACAGGGAATTTAAGTTAATTCAGAGCCATCTAGTTCTGACACATACCCGATTCTCCCACCAAAGTACTGCCCTCCTTGTCAGCATATCTGACCAGGTTACTGGGCCGTGAGATGGCCAGAGCCCTGGCGGTCACCACCAGTCTGGAGTAAGCCTCAGCATCCAGGTCCTTGGTGGCCGCAGTCAAACAGTGCATCACCTGGGATAGCTGAGCCTGGTCCTGGAATAGTTATACATGTTTTATTACACAATAAATCTCTTTAAAATGTATGTTTTTTTAACAGGCCTTCTCCAACAGTCTCATTTTATCTGAGAGGAGTCTCAAAGATGTCACATTAAGCTGTACACTTAACTGATATAGTCTGTACTAGTGCACTTAAAGAGATTGACAAAGGGAGCCTGGGACATGGGTAATTAAATAACTTCACTAAACAGCGTAATTTCACGTTTGACTAAGGCTCTTTCAAAGTACTATAACACTCAACATGAGAGAGTCTCAGGCACAATATATCTCCAAGTCTATGAAACTTCAACTGTTTTAAGTCACACGTGTTCTTCAACATCTTCCACAATACCTTGTGGTTATGGTACGCCACTTTGCTGCTGAACAGGGTGGCCATCAGTGACTTAGTGTGCTGGGTCACAGTGACGGGGGTGGGCAGGGTAAGCAGAGTGGTGGCTAGGTCCAGGGCCCCCTGTCTCTCCTTCTCCTTCTCCTCGGAACTGGCTGTGGCAAAACAACCATCTAGAACTTCCAGGGAACTGGCGACCAGTCTGAACAGAAGGGAAAGAAACAGTTGATATTCAGCATTATTTGATACAATAATAACAAAGTGTTTTTTTTTACATTTTAATATTTTTTAACAAATTTGACTGTAATAACTCCCTGAAGACTGTTCAATTGGATAACATTAATGGCACAGCTGTCATTAATATATTTTTCTGAGCTTGTTTTGCAAAACCCACTCATTACATTTTTTGTTTTCCTTATAATAACTAAAGCCTTGTCTATTTTAGACAAAAAAATCATGTAGCTTATATATTTGGATCCAGTAATTTTTACTCTTCAGTCTTCATGACATTTCTTAAAAACATGAAGCAGACAAAATAACACAACAAATGACATCTAACAGGCTATGTAAAAAGACACCATCAGCGCTTTACTGCAGCTGTGTACAAGGTTCCCAACAGATGGCACTACCTACCTGTCTGTACATGTCAGAGGTATAGGTGGCAGCACTGGCTCCTCTGTGGCCTGAATACTGCTCACTCCACTAGAGGGCACTGCTACCTTGGCAGCAGCCGGGACAGCCTCAGCAAACTCCTCAGTGTCCTCTGGCCAGCCAAAGGCCTCCTTGGTCTTCACGTAGACCTTGATGGAGTCTATCATGGTGACACCTGCTGGGTCAACACTGGGACCAACTGGGGACAGAGAGAGGGGGAAATTGTGAAAATGAGAAAATCTTTTTTAAAATACTGCTTGCAAACTGATTTATCACTGATTTGTCATTATTGTTGATTTGTCATCATTTCTGATTAGCTAACACTAAAATCATGCAAGAGACAAAGTGAATCAACTTGTGCACCATTAAATTGTACAAGGGGGATTAACTTTTCAGTGTGTGTGTGTGTGTATGTGGTGCATACAAGAATGTGTGTGCGTTGCTCATTGACTTACTAAATAGAGTCATCTTCTTCTCAGCAGTAAGACTTTCCTCCCTAGTGAATGCCAAATCAAACCACCTTGCTCTACTTATATTGACCTACATTAATAGAATGTAAAATATTGCAAGCAGTTTCCATACTAAATTGCCTCTAAANGTTGTGTGTGTGTGTGTGTGTGTGTGTGTGTGTGTGTGTGTGTGTGTGTGTGTGTGTGTGTGTGTGTGTGTGTGTGTGTGTGTGTGTGTGTGTGTGTGTGTGTGTGTGTGGTGCATACAAGAATGTGTGTGCGTTGCTCATTGACTTACTAAATAGAGTCATCTTCTTCTCAGCAGTAAGACTTTCCTCCCTAGTGAATGCCAAATCAAACCACCTTGCTCTACTTATATTGACCTACATTAATAGAATGTAAAATATTGCAAGCAGTTTCCATACTAAATTGCCTCTAAAATTATTTAACTTCATCACTCACTTTAAACCCATTAAAACTCTTCTCACAAAAGATTTGTTTAATTGACTTTTTGCAAACTTTACTATCCGATTTTCTTCAGTAAGCTGTTATACAAACTTAAACAAGTTGAGCACTTTTCCAATTAAGCCAAACTGAATATCCCCAAGACCTTCAGGTCAACCTTAAATAAGGTAGCATCCTTCAGTTTTTAATCCATGCTTCGATCACCTTCATGTTATAGTAAAAATCACCTCACCTGGGTAGTACGTCCAAAGATTTCTAGGTGTGAGGGGGCCATCTCCAAAGCCTGGCTCCCCACCAGTACTCTGAGAGATACCATCACATTGTTGGTGTTTGTGTTGGTGATCTCAATACTGAATCCTCCATTCTGAAAAGTCACCAGGAGAAGTACAAGTGATAATGTTAAAAATATTGGATACAGGTTCTCAACACATGCACCCACATGCATGGCCTCTCCCATTCAAACACTATCAATTTATCAGTGTAAAGTGTACAAAATACAAATTGAACACACAAACACACAGACATAGACACAAATACTATAATTATATTGCAAATGTATTACAAATTGGTTCACATATCTGCCATAAAGACCAATTACCTTAGTACTGGCAATATACATGCCGCTGGTGTTCAGTCTGTGTTTCACCTGCTGTGCATTATACACCTGTAGAATGTCATTGCCACCAAACTGAAATGGAAAACACAGCAATAATTCTAATCATCTTAAAAACACATCAAGAGCCAGGATTTATTTTCATCATTTCAAGTATTTTATATCATTAACATCACTACATCTTAGTGCACCAGTTTTCATTCTTTATTAAGATAAAGGCTTACTCATTTTGAAAGTTAAAATATCACCACATCTTATTTGGCTTTCTCTTTCTTAATCAGAATATAACAGCCAGACAAGGCAGGAGGACACTCTGTACCTCAACATCCTTGCACTCCTGGCAGTGCTCAAAGAAGTCCACTGGGAAGGATACATTGCCTGTTGGACGACCTGAAGGAGTAAAAATAAGATGTCACATAAAAATTCATGTGACAGTGAAAAAGACTGAATATCTCAGCTGACAGCAGTCAAAAGTATCTTATAACACTTATAACTTGTAACTTTTAATATCCTTGGCATGCTTAGCTCTAAGTTATGTGATAATAATAATGTTATTCATTTGATACACAATTACCTGTCTTTGTGACCTTCACCATTTTCTATATCAATTACCTGTCTTTGTGACCTTCACCATTTTCTATATCAATTACCTGTCTTAGTGACCTTCTTCTTCTTGGCAGGTTTCAGTGTGGTCAGCACAGACTGGGGCACCATAGAGGGGGACATCCAGAACCCAGTCTGGTCCACATTGGCCATGTAGATCCTCAGACTGCCATCCTCACACAGGAGGATCAGGGTGGTCCTCTGCTGGTCTGAGCTGGAGGAGGCATGGCGGATGGCGACCATGTCCTGGATCTGCAAGGGAAATACATAGCATTCATTCACTGTGTTGAAAAATCTTAATAAGGTCAATGAAATTCACAAATTGCTTTTGTGGTTACCTTTTCATATAAGTATAAGTGTTGAACTGTCAATGTATTTAACCTTGATAATTTCTAACTAAATAAATCTTTATAACAAAATTATCTAGCAAGCATAATGGTTTATGAAAATGATTAAATATAATAATACAAAATTTGCATTTGAAGAAATAAATCCCCCAGCAGGCATAGTAATTCAAAGAAAAAAGTTCCAAGTGTAATCAACCACATCTCTATAATTATCACCATGTAATTTTGATTTCTAAATGGAAGAACCTATTGTGTCTTACCTTGGCCTTAGATGGCAGCACCTTGATCTCCTGCAGCAAAATCACATCAGGTTTGACCATCAGGATGACCGGGTGGTTGCTGACCTGGGTCATACAGCACACTAGGCCCGGGTGGCCAGGTACCTCAGACCACTGGACTAAGGGCTGGGAGAAGTTACTCTTTCCTCCTCCTCCTCCGCCACTGGCTCCACCACTGCCTCCGCTGCCCTGCCCGTTGCTGCCGCCATTGGAACTGCTAGTGACACAGAATAGTACTCATATTATAAATCTACATATTATAATGAACAGGTTACTCTCATCACTGGATTACAGGATTTGTGAACCTCTCTTCTTCTCCCATCTAAAAATCATACAACTGTGACAATCTCTACTGTGGTCTCTGTTATCTGTCATTGATGCTATGGGCACAGAATTACATTATACAAAATAAAACACTTAAGAGAATCTCACATGATTAAGATTTGAAGAGATAAAAGAAATCCACTTTTGCAATACCAAACATTTAGAACTTTATGGCAGATATTCACTTAATGTCAAGTCCTATTAAGGTGTCCTTTATCTTTTAAGTAGACCACTTATCTTGCCTGTTAGGCTCTTACCTTTTAAAGGTGATAGGGAAGAGGATGGGTAGTTCTGTGGCATCCTTGGGTAGCGGTGCAGCAAATGTCTTCCCTTGTGAGTAGCTGAAGAATAACAGCTGGAGGGGGTGTGAGTAGTAGATGGAAGCCCCACCTCCTGCTATCTGGCCCTGGTGCTCCTAGGGAGAAAAATATCAATATAACATACAGATGTGTTTTTGATGTAAAACTTTCATATTATCATGTTGAAAAAATATCAGTGTATATACTTGCATTGAAGCTTTTTACTATATAACACCACCTTTAAAAGATGAGTCCAAATTAACTGCAATCATGAGGTAATGTATTACACCATCTTGATATGTACACTCGGTTTTAAAGAAAATTTTCTTTCAACATCATTTGTTTCATTTAATATTTCTCTCCAGAAATAAACCAGGCTGATCTTAAACATTCATCCTCATCTGGATCACACGGGTCACAAAACACCTCAAATCACAAATACAAAAGAGACTTTTCAGACAGTTCTAGTCCATGTTTAGTGCTGCTTACCTTTAAGTCAGCATGTTTGATTTCCAAGACATTAGTGATGTAAAAAGGTCCATGCTTGGCACTACTGGCCTCATCCATGACCTGAGTGTAGACGTATCCAGCAGACGACATCAGCACCAGACTGCGACTGTCCTCGCTGAACATGAAGGTAGCATCTCGAATCTTCCCACTGGGCAGGAGATAGTAGTACTGGGGACTGAGAGCGTCAACAGCCAGGTCGTAAATCTGGAACCACACATATTACAATTATAGAATCATAATATTTTAGGACTTTCATCAACTGTTTTTTTTAATTAAATTCTAACCATCACTTATTTGTTTCACAATATGATATTGGTTTCATGTCTTTAATACATCAGTGGTTATTTAATCAAGATTTTTGTCAACTCATTTTTAACCACAATTTAATCATATTATACTTCTAGTCTCCCACTGGTTCTATACACCTGCAATATTTCAGAGGCCTTCTTCTCAAAATCAGAATATTTGATAACAATATAGCTAAAGGACAGTAAAACAGCCATTCTTATTATCCAGAATATCTTTGTATAACAAATGCAACCTAATATTTTTATTACTATAATTTTTAATTTTATTATTATTATTATTATTATTATTATTATTATTATTATTATTATAATTAGCAACCCAGCCCTTACCTTGACAAAGTCTGCAGTGACCACAGCCAGTTCAGTCTGAGAGCCTGGCAGCCAGAGAGCTTTGATGATGAAGTTTCCAGTCTCCAGCTGAGGGTGGAGGACCAGGTGGTCAGCTACTGACCCTGAGCTGGTGAACGTCAAGATGTGGCAGTCCTAGGAGAGAATACCAACATGGGAATTAGACATAAAAAACGGGAATTTGACACAAAATCAGGAAAATATCAGTCTGAAATGCCCCAGTATATTAAGACAATAACACAGCAGTGAGATTTGTTGGGAAATAATTAATTTGTGAAAATCAACCCCAAGACATACCATGATATACCCCATAATTCATTGAGATTTGTAAAGAGTCAACTTATTTGGAATATGGTCCCTAAATATAAGTGAAATGGTGTACATCAACATTTTCCAATTTGGTCAAATTACCAACTTATTCTTATTCAAACATATCTGTGTCAAAATATATTATCCTGGAATAAGTAATATGGCAAATATAGGTCAGTTTGCACTCTAATTATGTATAATTTCATATAACTTAAGATAAAATTTAGAGTCCTTGCTCACCTTTAATCCACAAACTGCCAAAAAATCTTCATTACACGGGTTCCCAGCAATTGAAAGCACAGTGAATGGTATAGGTGCCGAGGCTAGTCTCTATAACAATCAATAGGGGCAGCAGTGAGCAATAGTCTCCATGGCAATTATCACTTACGGGCACTTACTCACATTACAAAAAAAGTTATTCAATTAATTATATAAAGTGCACCAGTGAATAATGGACCAAATATTTTCTAAAATCCTGTTCACTTATTTCTAAAACATGACACCATAAGTGAAGACAGAGCACATGACTTACAGTGAGAGTCAGCTTCCTCTTGCTAGAATCCGCCTGCTTCAACAGGGTAGACAGCTGCAGTATGGTGATCTTGCCCTTCTCATGGCACACCGCAAGGTGCTGTCTCTTGCCGTGCACAGATGTCATGCAGCACATGGCGATACGGCGCACTAGAGAAAATGTGATCAGCTGCCGTATCTGCTGGCCCTGCTCTCCACTGTAGTTTATCTTGACATTCTCAAAAGCGCCCTCTTGTGAGCCCAGGGTGGCAGTCTGAGAAGAGAAGAAGAGCAAATTAGGTAAAAAAATTAGGTAAAATTTGCATTATGCTTTAATGATATTTTTCACTTACAAAAAAACTATAGCTTAGAAAAATAATTGTTGCGTGTTTCAGTAAAATGCGAGTACTTTATCTTGGTATGTGTGTCAAATAATACACTGCCACACTCCCATAATATATGTCTTCAACACCTCTAACTGATGCTCAAGATGTTCTGCCATACATCACCCAGGTGACAATGTATTATGTGTGAGGTAAATGAAAGTGAGAAGATAAACTTTACCATGAGTTGGTCAGTGGTTTCCACTGTCTTGGTCAGTGAGTGTAGTTCCTCCAGAGCCTTGCGTGCCCTGGCTGCGCTCCCTACTGGAGACACTCGGGTGTAGTGACCTTGGATGGGGACTGTCATGGCCTGGAGCAGTTCTAGCACAGTACTGGCAGTTCCAGATGATTCCTGGGGGAAATAAAGTTATGAAGTGAACTACAAAGTGATACCAGAACAGAACAGATCACATTTAGTAACTTGAGATTAGAAATTGTGCTTATTATACTTAAATGAATTCCTACAATAGTTATTCAAAAGGAGGCTTACAAAAGTAATTTTGTTAACTAACAATTGGTCATATTATCCATCAGAAATGCATGTCCTTTAAATATCTTAACTACAAACAATACTTACAACATGAGACAGCAAGACCTCCCTTTGGGCCTGGAATAGAGAAAAGTTCCTCTTTTTAAAAAATCTTTGAATTAAGGTAAAAAAAACAATGCTTGCACCCGACCACAAAAAATAAAGGTAGGGATAACTTCGTATAATATTATCTTAACAAAAGAACAAACATACAAAGCTTGATTTTAAACCAAACTACAAGAAGCCCCTCCTGTAGAAATTTAACATGTCTGACCTCCACTTGTTTGCAGAGCACTTCTCTAGCTTTGGATATCTTTGCTGAGTCTCTGTCTTTATCTCTGTCCTTGTCTCCAGTGTCGGGGGAGGAGTAGCGCTGGCGCAGTGAGCTGGGGAGCATGGCCTCCATACTGAAAGGGGAGGGGGTGGTGGCGAGGGTGCTGCCATCTAGGTCACTGGAAGATACCCTCTTCACCATGGCCTGGTTGAATATAAAGTCAATATATGTCACGATATGCCATATATGGTCATGTGTTAACTGTGTTAAAGAACTGCCAAATTACACCTACAAAATTGCACAGAATACTCAAATCTGGAAGAAGCTTTAAAAACTTACCAAGATAAGAGTAAAACAAAGAAAACAGGCCTGTGACAATTTTAGAAAATTAAAAAAATATGTATTGTACCCAAAACAAGAGGTAGCAATGGAATTGGTGCAACATCATATAATTATGTGTAAAAAAAGTCATAACAGTTTCTCAATCTCAGCTCACCTTACAGCTACCATCTTCTTTTGCTCCACAGTCACAGAAAAAGGAGCCAAACTTGGCGTAGGTCAATTCATGGTCCTTGTGGCACACCTTGGCACATATAGTGCAGACACCAACGCCATCTACCATCTTGCAAGTGTGACAGTGGTACCTTCAATGTCAAATCAATAGCCTTCATAACTAATCCCAGATCATTTAAAACATGCCGAATCACCAAACTATGACAAGAGTCCTATCATAATCAAATGTCTATTTCTGCTGCCTCAGCAAATTATTTCTCGAATAGCCCTTGAAACAAACTATACATGCCTGAGGGTGAAACATTTCTCATCTTTCCCCCTGTTGTTTCACTTACCAATGCTGGTTCATGAATTCCTTCTGGGTAATGGTAAAAGTACACAGTTTGTTGTTCAGTGATTCCTCGTCGGAGTCCTCACCCCCAGAGTCTTCCTCTTCCTGTGCTATATCCTCCGTCCAGTCACTGTCTGCCTCCTGGACGCCAGTGTCGCCATAGTAATGTGGGGAGGCAGAGCCACTTCTACAGAAAATATATATAATATATAAATACTAGTATTATACTTATACAAAACATAGCAAAATTAGTCTTCGCTGTTTTACAGATAACCAATTATATATGTTACATGCATTCAAATGAAAACAGCATTTGGCAATTTATAATTTCAATATACCACTATTGTAAGTCCCAGTAGAATATTTGATTTAACGTTATGTTTTAACTGCCTTTTTTTTTATATTACTCTTGGTCCTTCTCAAACAATTAATATATTCTAACTCACATATAATGCCTATTCAAAAGTAGCATGAAGCAATTCATGGCCAAGTTTTCTATCAATCAACAGAAAAAATGTTTTAATTTGATAAAGAAAGCGAAATGGTCCCATGATATAAAACATACTTGTCAGAGGACTGTTTCAGTGCACTCAGAATGTCTCCTATGTACTTCAGAAGATAGGTGGCGCTCTCCATCATAACCTGGTGCTGCAAGAGAAGACATGAAAATTTCATGGAATTTTCATGAAGATCCAACACCATAAATCAAAGTATATATTTTAAATTTTATTTAAAATTGCAATTATTCAAATTAAAAGCTGCCATCTAAAATTTTTTGTAACACTGCACATTATAGTTACTATATGAAGATTTTCAAGAGAATTTCATAACTTTTACTCAAGAAAGTAAATGACAGAACAAATAAGGCAGGTGATGAGGATTTTACATACATTTCCAGATGCCACACTTTCTGTCAGCTTCTCTATTACATTCTTCTCAGTCAAGTAGGCTTTGCTGAAAAACATGAACAGAAATGGAAAATTTTTCAAATTCTAAAAGATGGTTGCAACAACTAACACACCCAAAAAATCGCATGCACTTGCTTAAAAAATTAACCAATTAATTAGTGTGTGTGTGTATGTGCATTTGCGATCAATAGAAGGGTATGGAGGTTATAGCTGGGAAAAATACATATTTGAAAATGATAAACGTGATCTGATAATATATTTATAAATAAAGTTTTATTTAAAAATCTGGACTGATCTACCCATATATACAGTATACTCACCACAGCTCCAGCCATGCTGTGGCTGCCTTGAACAGTGTAGTGTGACCAACTCCGCTGCCAGCTCCTGCCAGGGTTGCCATGACAACCATCAGCTCAGAGAAACCCATCCCGTCTGAGGATGGAGAGAGGAGCTGAGAGCCCATGGGAATGAGAGCATTTAGAATGGCCTTGGCCACCTCCTCACCAACATGGCTGTTCTCTTTTACGATGTACGATGTGAGGCTTTGAAGAAGATGGCGGTTCTCGCTCACCCCAGCTGTGTCTTCTAGGTTCTGTAAAAAATGAAAATGTGAATTTGGGGAATAAAAATAGATATGTAGTCACTTGAAAAAAAAAAGGTAAATCATACCACAACATTGTTACAGTAATTTGCAGAGACATGTCTTCAAAAGTGAGAGTTAATTCTGGCAGATTTCACATTTGCTACCATGAAAAACATCCAAGGTGCACCTCCCTGACACAAGACAATTTCTTATCCACGTCAGTTTGCTACCAGTGGCTGACTTACTTGTGGAGAGCCCATGATCATTTTCTTTAGCCATGCCTGCAGGGTGTTCATGTCCAACCTGGCCAGTTTCTTCAGGGAGGAGCAGAGAACTTCAAAACACTTGTCTTGTGGGTTTTTCTCAGCTAAAAGTAAGATGGAATACACTTGAACAATTGTCAAATGTCTTTTGAAAAGGGTGAAGGATAAAATTTACAAAACTAAATAAAATTCTAAAATATACACTCTCAAACTATCCTTCAACCAGTAGAAACTGATGATATTTTTAACATTTTCATCAAGCTCATCTTTTGGAGAGGCACTTTAATTATTTCCTCTGTGGAGTAATTACTAGGCAAACAATGATAAAATTTTACCAGATTACATTTTACTACAAGTATGCCTTATCATAACTGTACTGACCAATATTATTTTATTCACTCTAGTCGTATCATACATCTAAAACAAAGACAATGTAACAATATGGTGTAAGCCTGATGGGATTTGGTCTTACCAAGTTGGAAAAGTTTGTTGAAGAACTTCAACACCTTAGTGCTGTAGGTAGGGGACATGTTTTCTCTGGAGGCAGACAGCAGGACTTTGGTCAAATCTGAAATAAAACAAAACACAAGATAGTGTAAGATGAGAGTTCCAAGTACAATTTTTAGTCAGAAATTCTCTCCAAAGTCGATATCAGTACTGAAAACACAAGACCAAAGTTTTCACTGCCTATTAAATAATGTGTGTCAAAAAAATTAACACTATTTTCCCATTATTACAGATTGACCTAAAATTTCTCTTGATTTTTTCAATTCTTTTTATTTAATGATGATAATCTCAGCAAAGTAGGTGTCAAATAAACATCTCTTCCTACCTCCAGTATCAGTAAAGAAGGTCTGAAAGGCTTTCTTTCCCAGTGGTTTTTCTATGTGCATCTCCATGAACTTCAAGCAGTCATGGAAAATCTTCTCATCAAGACCACTGCAATGGGAAACAAAGTCTCAGTGAATATTTATTATGCATACAGCAGGCTAGCAGACATCATAAATGCCAGTTCAAATTTTCCTGGGACTGATTTGAAAGAAGAGACCAATAATTGCATGAACGTTTTCACTAAAATTTTTAGTCCACTTTGACTCGCCACATATCTCAGCTTCCCCATTCAGTAGATGAAATGTTGCAACACTTTTAGATAATGTTGTCTTGCTGTTTTGGATAATGTTTTAGATCAACGGTTATTGTAGACTAATAACGACTGCTTCTAAACTGAAACAGGCTAAAATATTTCACTCTCATTATGAACAACTTCAACATATTGAAACTAATTTATATCAACTACCAATTTTGCTAACTATAACTATGTAATACTTCTGTAAGATATACAGGCCTTACTTACCATTCTGGTCCTGACATGTCCAGTAACAGAGTATAACACTTCTGTAAGATATACAGGTACATTCTGCTGGTATACTCCTCCCCATCCACAGGACCTATCACCCTCTCCAAGGCCAGAGTCACCTGGAATAACAAACAAACAAACAGTTATACCTCCAAGAACGAACACGCACACATGCATGCACGCACACAAACACATTCACACACAGTTCATTTACATACATTCATGATTCACTGCCCAAAATGTATAAAGTGAATTAAAACTTCAGAATCACTTAAACAAATACTGCAAATAATTGAGGTCATTGTTAACTATATATAATGCAATCCTATATCCTATCCTATCTTTAATATTATTATCACAATTAACATGTACTTTTATATTTGATATCTTCACTGGCAAATAATTCTGGTGTATGTTATGAACTTTTACACAGACATGAGTTGCACCATAAAAGCCACTGTCACTTACATAATCAGCCAAATATTCTGTGGTGCTGTCAAAGATGAGAGGGAACATTACTCTTATCAGGTCTTCATTGAAGCTTGAGTCAATGCACCATCTATAAAGATATCAATAAAACAAATCTAAAAACAAGTTATACATTTGTTATATGTTAATATTTCTATCTTGCAACAACACCGAGAAACTGGCTAATTTACAACAGCTGCTTTATTTCTTTAAGTCCTTGGCTTGTTCAAAGTGGTATAAAAATTATTTCCGTTAGAAGATCTTCCTTTCATATCAATCAAAATGAACATGCACATGCATTCCTGACTCTCACACACATCTGCCTGGTTGGTTTTGATGGACATAAACACATGTGTCAAACTTCAAGTTTAACTTCACAGCTATCAAAATCCTGAGTGAATGAATATATAAAATACTTACACCACCAAGTCCTGGCAGAACCTGACTAAAGCTTGTAACATGTGCTTCAGTGACATGTTCACTTCAAACTCTGCCTGGCCTAAAATATCAACAGGAAATCCATGTATTCCAGTAAAGCTGGTAAAATAGGGTACTTTAAAACATTCTGGAAAACATTATCATTTTGATGAGATATGCTTTTAAATTTGAAATATGTGATGTTTGGAGGGCTGTCATCTGAACACCCATCCTTATCACATACACAATTTATATTGAAATCATGAAGAAAATATGCCAATTATAATACCTACAGTGACCATTACACTTAAGTCACTAATGTTATTTTACTTCTTGTGCAAGCAACAGAAGAACAAAAAATTTTAAGTTTCAAATTCTGCTGTGAAAATTTAAAAGAAAATTCAATAGTTTTCAAAAACCTTTCCCAAAAACTACCTGATAAAGTTCCCACATGGGCAAACTGTATAGCTTCAATGTAACTCTCTGATGGGATAATGTCATTGGCAAAGGCATTTCTCTGAAAAGAAAAGAATTAGATGGATTTTGAGAGCGAGAGCGAGAGAGATGTCAAGTAACAATATCAACTGCAATTACTAGGATAAATACTCTTTACATTTTAGTAATATCTACAAATACATAAGCAAAGCACAAGGCTCAGCAGCCTCAACATTAAGTATAAGACAAAAGAAACTACACCAAAACTGTCAAATCCACTCACCCATGAGCTGATAGCAGGAAACTCATTAGCTGTACTGCTGTTCCACTTCTCAATGACATTTCTGACAGGTTCAGGCAGGTAGGCCATGGTGGCAGCCCCCAGGACAGACACCTTACTGGCCCTAGTGGAGCCAATACTAAGGACAGCCCCATAGGCTCTCAGTGCTCCATGACACCTGCTGGAGTCCTCGCCACCCTCCTTGATCTGATGCAGGAGGGACGACCTACACAGACACAGACACAGACATCATATATAATTGTTATTGTCATTTTTTCCCTTTTTTCAGTATTTTTAAGACATTATTAAGGTAATATGAAAATGTTTCACCATAGTAAAATGACAGAAGAGATGTGAATTTTTTTCCCAAATTTAACAAAATAACTTTGCCATACATAGGTATATTGCACCTCTGGTCTTGAATCTTGCATTAAAATATATTACCTTCCATAAAACCAAAACTTTACAAACAAAATACACACATTTCCAGACCTGTACATCAAAGAAGATTATCTTTACCTAATGTACACAGTGTAAGCCTCTATCAGCTGAAACACTGCAGGCAGCAATCCCAACCCTACCTCCATACACTTCCTGGGATCTGTCTCCGCCTGGAAATACAACACAGAATACAGATGCCATGAGATGTACATGTCAAGAGACTACAATCAGGCATTTCCTTCCTACAGTGTGACTTTAACCTATTCCTCAGTGATTTGATGACAAAAAGTTCTCACAACAGATCAATAAATAGATGAGAAATCTGTAAAGGAAGTACACAAAGCAAAAGGGGTATATTTATGTATGCATGAATTCTATGAGAGTCTCTGAGGCAAGTTTGCTCTTATAATTTGGTTCCATAACAAAACAGAACAGATTAATGTAAGTGGAAAATGCAATTTCATTGGCATTTGTACTTTGATTACTACTCAAAGCATGATTTATAAATACTCACAGCTGAGTATATATCTATAAATATTATTCAATTATTTTAATTCTTTAAGAAATATGGATATATCTACAATTTCAGCAAAGATGGAGAGAAAAGAGCACAGCATCATTTAGACAGTTCCACCACTCTATGCCTCACCATAGACTTAGTGAAGAGTTCATCCAGTGCCACATGTGCCTTGGCGACCACAGTGTCCAGCATGTAGATGGAGCTCAGACTGGGGATGTCTGATATGGACACTATGGTGGACCTGTCCATTACTGGCGTGTTAGACAGCTGAAAGTAAATATGCATGTATTGCTTAAGAATTTGGCTTCTCATCGGCTTTTAACTGGATCAGGGCTCAACATACCTATCAGTGTTACTTGAACAGCAGCACAGAAAATGGCAATTTCCATCTATACAAATATAAATGATTTTTTTACCTTTAAAAGGCAAAAACTCAATATTTACCATTAAATTTCAATACTTTATTTAAGTGCACATATCAATTCAGTTTGCATACATAAAAGTCATCAGATTAGACTTCATCAAATAAGTTGCATATTCCATAAAATAAAGAAAAGGATTATGCAGCACTACACCCTAATATAGTGAGTATTTCTCACCTCGTTTTGCATGTGCTGCAGTGCAGTGCTCACATCGAAGTTGACATTATTGGTAGTATTGACCACGCTGGAGACCAGGGCCTCAGCTTTCTGGGTGGTCATTCCCTGCTTGACCAGTGAGTCCTGGGGACAGGACAACAGTTGATGAAAATGGTTAAAAGTTAATAAAACTACGAAAGTTATTAAAACTAGAAATACAATATATTAAGTAGAAAACCTCTCAGAAAGGATAGACCTTCAAATAAGCAGCTCAATTCTTATTACTGATTAACTATTAATCATTATAATTATTAATATATCAGTGGATAAACATAATAATCTAACTAATTCTTGGTTAGCCCATTTCTGACCTACCCCATGAAAATTTTATCAAAATCAATCCAATGAAGGCAAAAATAAAAAATTCCTTGACAGAGGAAATATATAAACTAAGAAGAATGGCATGTGAAATAGTAAACAATAATATCTGTTCACACATACCTTGGTCCATCCTGCAAAGTTTTTATGCATCATGCGTGGCGCCCAGCGCATTGTGTGTAACATGTGAGGTGCGTCGTAATCTTCTGTCATGCCTTCCTCTAGACTGTGCATGTACTGCGCGGAGGGAGGCAGACATCCCAGAAGCCTCCAGCAGATCAGGAAGTGGTAGTGGATGGCAGACGCCTCCTAAAGCAGAGGAATAAAGCCATCAAATACAGGTGGGAATTTTGTTATATTTTTGTATATACAATGATGAAGATAGATAAGGAAAATGGCAGAAAAACACTTGAAAGAAATCAGGTGAAATCATGCCCTGTTAATTTAAATGATCAAAACAAAGAAATAAAAACCTGAATATTCTATAACCAATGTCCTTCTTACTAACACATATGCTATTATTCTCTTGCCAAAAGTGCCATCAAAATGAGAGCTAAAGGATTCAATTTCATTCACAATTGTGACAATCAAACCTACCAATACAGTTCCTACCCCAGCAGACACTTTGTCCCACTTAGATCCTGCAAACAATAATGTCACACAGGCATCATAGAGGACGCTGTAGTTCAGGACATCTTCTGCTGCTCCTAGGAGAAAACTGCATGCCTGCAACAAATCAGAAAGTTGTTGAGATAGCAATAACAATACACTCAAATATCACACAGATTCAGTAATATGATTTCAAGATACCATGGCATAATTTTTACAATTAAAAGATTAGGGTTTAAATTAGGAAAATACCAACTTGTTCTTAACCAAATTTATTAATGTCGCAACTCTAAAGTAAAATTTCCTTGAACCATAATCTTTCTCATCTCTTTTCTTCTTTCATTCTTTTCTTCAATTCTAATCTTTCATAAGTAATGATCTGATCATGCTAAGGTTAAATGCAAAATAAAGATATAGCTGGTGTGGTATTCTATAACAAGTACTCACCAGTCCGTCCACTTTGGGCGTGTCCTGGTTGTTATAGCCAGTGGCTGCCAGGTTGTAGAACCTCGGCTTCATGGTCATCTCTGCAATAATATGTGAATCGGACATTAGAAATATTTCAAAGTCTATACAGTAAAATGGTTTTAAGATATAAGTCTTTGAATCATGGTCACCTCTGCAATGATACATTGACCGGACATTAGAAACATGGCTAAGGCTAAACAGGGTTAAATGGGAGTGAGATTTAGGTCTTTAAGTCATTGTCATCTCTGCAATATACATGTATGGGATTTAGAAATATGGCTCATTTTAAACATTAAGATGGTACCAAGATTTAGGTCTTTGAGTCACGGTAATATCTGCAATTCTACATGTATGGGGTTTAGAAATATTGACTGAAATACTAAAATAAAGATTTGAAGAAAATTTATGTCAGTGAGCATCAATTCAACTAGCTCGTATCAGGATTTTCAAATAAATCCAAAGGACTTTAATTTCAGAGTATGTCTCACCTTGTGCTGAGGCTTGTTTCAGGTAGTTGTCTTCCACTTCTTTAAATGCCACATACTCCTTCTCTGAGGTGACAGCCACACTGCTGTCTGACCTGGTGTGGGATACAAACAGGTTGTGCTGGACCTGGGAACAGATGTTAGGAAAGTTGGTGTTCATGTCTTATAATACAGAAACACTTTTACAAAGACACACACTGATAGTGCAGACAAAATGTAGCACCTGTCAGACACAAAAAAAGTTATTACATGTACAACTTGTGGACTCAATGCTAAGGCAATTGTTAAATGATGGACCGAGATGTGTTTTCAAGTATAAACAGTTTGCATATATCACACCATATATCAAATTTTTAATTTTTTTAGAGAAGACAAAGAAGACTGAAGAAATATATATATACTTACTAAAATAAAAATATTACTGATCAGACCAATAAACTTTTAAAATATTATAATAACCTAAAACCACATTATATATCATCTACTCTTTCCCTTAGGGATAACCTGTCATTTACCTGGTCCATGAGAGAGGCAGGAGGGTCATAGAAGTAATGGAGCATATAGTCAAAGATCAGCATCAGTCTGGACAAGGGCAGAGGAACCATTTCTTCTAGTTTCCTGAAGAAAAAACAAAGTTCAGAGTTCCTGTGATGTAACTGACCAAACAGATGCTAAATAAATTGGTTTAGTCAGAATAACATATTCAATTAAAATCAATAATTTTCTACATGATATAATTTCATCATAAAAATCAAGCGAATATCTGTTATAACAAATAAAGTGCAAATGACATACTCTCTGGCTCTAAAACAGTTTTCTTGTCATAGACTTCTGGCAATAATTAAGCTGCCTTGGCCAAAGGACAATTAGTGACTTCCAAGTGATACTTACCACTTGTCAATGTGTGCCACACTGATGATAGTATGTCCTAGTAATATCAGGATGGTCTTCTTCTGCATCAGTGGCAGCCCGTGGAACAAAAACAACAGCACTTGCAGGTGCTCCACATTGATATCTATAATAATAAGAATAATTTATTTAGCTTTAATGTATATGAAAAATGCACATCAAATATTAGATTTGGGCCATGCTTCATCTGGCAATAGATGACAAATTATAAACTATGCAGGAATTCAAAGAACAGTAATAAACATTTTCATTATTATTCTCAATTTGGAAATTTAGAAACTTTGAAGGTAAATAAAAGGGAGGGGGGGATAAAAAGGGAGTAATTAAGCACTAAAACCAGTCCCAAATAAAAGTGTACCAACCTTCTAATTTCTCACAATCATTGTCAAAATTCAAGATGGCATTCTTCAGGCTCTGCAAGAAGCGGGTCCAGATATTGATCACTGCGGCTTCACTCTTACTCTTGATGCAGCCCGCCTCCCTCTCCCTCTTCTGTCTTAGGAGGATCAATTCCACCAGCACAGCCAAGCTCCGCGGGTAGACTGTCATGGGCCAGGGATCAGAAACCATGGTGCCTATACCCAGATGCTGGAGCAAGGTGAACTGAAGCAACAGGATGAAATTGTGAAATAAGTTATTTGTTTTGCTAAAATGACAGCAACAGTGTCTATAATAAAAGACATTACATATGATACTGATTTGAAACACAACTGAGTTGTTGACTTATTACTCAACAGGTACTTCCCATGAATGTATTTCAGGTGGTCATTACCACATCTTAAATGACAAGAAATGACGATACTCACCTGTAACTGGAACGAGAGTATCTCAGAAGCTATCAGTATGTGCAGAAACCTGGCCAAAGCTGTCGAAAATTCTACAAACAGGTCTGGAAACGAATACAACCAATGATGTTATTTTCTGGATTTTTGTGTCAAGCACATCTGCTTTTCATGTGACCACTTTTTCATTTACCTATTAATGAACAATGACAATATGATAGAAACCACATCTTGTTACACATGACTCCTTTTTTTATCAAATTTGAGTAAATGAGTCACAGGAATTATTTTGGAAAAAATGATAATATGTACAAGTGACAAGGCTATTACTAAAACCTAAACCAGTGAATATAAATGCACTCAATTGTGCCATAATTCTTGGCACATTTTTCTATCTCACCATTTTCCTGCCTGCTGCAGTCCCTGTCCAGCTCTTTGATAACAAATGCCAACAGCGACATCTGGTGGTCCCCCATGGTACTCCTTGAGACAAAACATTGAACACACAAAATGAAGGAAATATAAAATGAAAAAGAACAGTTCAGCAGTTATGATAAATCGGTATCTCTTAAAATGCTGATTATCAACATCAACATTCTAGAGTATACTATTAGCCATACTACTGGTAAAACAAAATTCTCTTCTTTAGGTTTTTATATATAACATAAAATCTCTACTTCAAAATGTCCCCATGAACACCATGAGAAATATTAACTCACTTGATATAAGCAGTGACTTCCTCACAGTGAGAGGATAAGAAATGCTGGGTAAGGAACTGCAGAACTTCTGTGGCCAGGTTGATATACTGAAATGTTATATTCCAAATAGTAATTTATATCCATCATGTAATCATTTAAACATAGTTTTATCAAAAACTTAAATAACTTTGATTGAGTGCCAACACAGACAAGGTATAATAAAACAACACTCAAAGTCTCACAGTAACTTTACCAGAATCTAAAATGTGCCTTAGACTGTTACTATGATTCAAATAAAATATAGGATTAAACTACATAAAATATCTCTAGTGATCACATGATAAATATTCCATTACCATTTGTCTCAGCAATATCTGACTGAAAGCAATAAATGTCTTGCATAAATTTAGTGACCCCCTAGAACATGTGCACTCACCGACACAAACACATGCACCCGCACACCAGTCTGGTGTAGAAGTATGAATAAAGAACAATTATTCATTATAACAGAGATACAATATTGAACTCTTACCCCATCAGGCTCTTTCTTGTCAGGGATAAAATTCTTCCACTCCCCAGCTATCTTGTTCCCCAGTTTACTGGCATTGCTGGCCGAGCTCTCCAACACAGGGGGTGGAGGAGGTGGCGGCAGATTACTGCTGGAGTCCGAGGGGGAGGGGGTTTCGTCAAACCAGTGGCTCAGACCAAGGATGGGCTCTGAGTCATCATCTGATATGATAAAATGCAACTGAATAACATGATACATAATGGGAGAAAAAACTTTGTTCCAAGGGAGACAAAATCATGTTGTCCATATGAACACTAGCCAAATTTCAAAATAGAGTATACTGCAAAGTGAAGATTTTTTAATTTTTTGTGAGAGAAATAAGTCTAATTTTTTTCTTCATTTACAATTTTACATAAATAATATAACACCCAACTGTACCAACAGGCCAACACAAGGTCAAGATTGGGTCAAGATCAGTAAAGGTCAAGGTCAGCACTTATCCTCACCTTCTTCCTCACTGCTGCTGCTACTGTCCTCAGTGCAGCTGAAGTCATCCTCATAGTACGTGTTGGAGTCGGAGCTGGTGCTGTCACTGTCGTTATTGTCGCAGTCCGACTCACTGTTGCCTTGCCTCTGCTTCTTCAACAGGGATGCCTGCAGTGAAAGATAAAAATACTATTTTCATTTTCTGTGTCTGATCTGACTTTTGAATTTTTTTTTTTATCTCTGAAGACTCTTAATTGAAAACCAAACAAAAATCATTTATTGTGCTGGTACTTAATATTTAAGCCATCATTCACTACATATCATTTATCTATATAAAAGAAGGGGGCAGAGGAGAGAACCCAGGAAAATTAAAGCAAAAGTCAATGAAGTTTTTAAAAAATATGGCATATATCTAATATAAATTTGGAATATGATCCAAAAGACCATGAGCCAATCACTGAAGAAAACAATTTTAAATTGCATGAGAATACTTGCATATGTCTACCAAAAGTGAGGAGTAAAATCTACTGTATACTTTACATAAAAAAATCCTATTTGGTGACACACTAGCTAAACTACACTACGCTATACTAAACACTATTTTACTATGATGCTGAAAATATAAAAAGAAATAAATATTTTATTGGCAGAATCTACATCAAACTTTTGAGTTATCTTGGCTTGTTTTAACTTTCTTTTCTTACATTTTGTTATTCTGCTTTTAAAAATCTTTTAATTAATAATTGTGCTGCATTGCCTATTGACTTTATTTCACACAAAAGCACCCATTCCAAAACATAATATCACATCTATTTGGCAAAGTGTGCTAGAAAATTACCCTAACATATGGAAAGGTGCTGCTACTTTTCTTGCACTTAATGTTGAAACCCTGTAAAACAGGTTGAAACATGCTAAAAATGCCTTGTGTGATTTTTAAGAAATCCAGATGATTTTGAGCTTTTCACTTTCAACACAAACACATACGTGTTATGAATGGTTTTTAAAGGAAGAAAGAGATTCACCCTCCAAATGCACATTTAAACAAATACCTTCCAAAAGCTGTTATTTTATCCTATGTCAACTCCCATTTCGCCTGTTCAGATTTTCTTGCATATATATAATTTGATTGGCCCTACCAATCATGTAAATGCATACCAAAGTGTTCTCACCTTTTTGTAAGCCACATTCAGTATGTTAAAGAGCAATCCAGTGAGTCGGACGCTGCTGGTTATCCTTTCTACTCTCTGCCAGGCAGTCAAAGAGCCCTGAATCTGGACAACAGTCTCCCCAGGATAGGCAGACATGGGTGACTATGAAAACAACAAGGTTGAAACATTTTTTTTTCCAAGTTATTCTGAATTGTGTAGTTCCATTAATGCAGTATAATATTAAAGCGAGATTGAAATTTACGATTGTTCACTTTTTTAAAAGTGCACCCAAAAATTATGAAAACCAAGAACAGTGCCCTCTAAACAACCAATACTTGATTTTTTTAAAAATATGCCATAAAATTTCTCCTAGATTAAAACACAAAGTTGCTATAGTTACAGTGAATGTTGCAGTCTCCATGCTAAGATCCTCCATGAGAGCCGCCATCAACTGCATGGCTTGTGAGGCCAGGGCTACAGCTAGGACACCAAACCCATGCTGACTGAATAAATAATAATAATAATAATAATAATAATAATAATAATAATAATAATAATATTATTATTATTATTATTATTATTATTATTTCAAGTCTAAATTCCAACGGGGACTATTCAGGAGATTTTACAATAAGCACAATTATGTGTGGTACATGTATAACAGTTTGATGCCTGGTCATATTAAACTGTGTTGACAATCTTGCCTCATTGGGAAGACACACATCAGGAAGATCTTTTCATCTATATACTAATGTTTTTCTTTACACATTTGCAGTATTTTTATCAAAGTAAAGTTCGGATATAGCATTATCTACACAAAGTAAATTATACTTGCTAACCTGACTCATGCAAAATATGAGTGGGAAAAAAACAGCTCTGATGCCAGCTATCATTGACCATATGATTCTTTTCAACTTCACTGATATTCTTGGTATATATACCAAGATCCTCATATATCATGTTGTACCATAAAATAATCCCAAAAATTATTGACAAATCAAACTTGAAAGATGCTTGGTGCAATTGAATAAAAACATCTTTTTCCATTCCCCACCTTTTAGGCACAGCTGGCTTGCCAGTGCTGCCCTCTTTTGGTTTAGCTGTGCCCTCAGTCTTTGTTTTAGACACTTCCTTCTCCTTGGGTTTGTCCAGTATGCTACTGGGAGAGATATGGAGAATGTGCTGGAGACCATGGAGTATCAACCACGCTGCTGTCATTTTGTAGTTTTGTAGGGTCTGGGAAACAGGGATGACAAGATTAGATGAAGTCTTGTGAATAGTTTTGAAAATATTACGATCCATATTTAATCGCAGAAGGAAGCACAATAACTATGTGATATCCATGCTTACCTTCAAGCATGATTTTAATGTAATCAGGTCACTATTGGAGCAAAATAGTCCTTGAAAGAAATTCTGACTGAAATTTATATCTATGGCTTTTCTTGATTTTCAATGGTCAATATCCATCTAATTTTAAATAAATAATTTTCTTTTCATTTAAACTGGATAATTTTTTCACACATTTCACGACAAATTCAGTATAATTTACTTACATGTCCACCTGCCCTTGTAGAGGATTGAATGGTTGTCAGCACGGTGTTAAACACTTCCAGCTAGAACACAAAAACATCCTCATTTCCATACAAATCTAATAATATACAATTAATATCCTCATTGACCATATGTTATTATAAACCCCACCAAAACCATTTAAATTTTAGAAGTTATGGGAAGGACAGGTTGAGAAATCCGTAGTTCACTAGATGCTTTGAAAGAAAGAAATGCAGGGAAGGGTAATGATTAACCTTTTTTAGGGAATTTGAGTTAAAAGATATAGGAACAAGTACCAGACAGAAATAAAGAAAGAATGAATGAACAAGAGGGGGAGAGAGAGAGAGAAAAAGAGAGAGACAAAGAACCCCCACCCATGTATGCTTATTTTATCACAATATATTCAAGTGTAAGTTAAATGACATAAACAGTGCCTCCAACTAAAAATATTCCTTCTAAATTTAGTTTGAATGATATTAACTTTCTTATCCCAGAGTACTTACACTTTTCTGGACAATGCCCACTGCGTATGTGTCAAAGTCTTCTTCCTTGGTGGCAGTGGCACCTTTCACTTGGGCAGAGGCAGCTATATAAAACAAGACATCAATGCTGCTATATATACCGACTTTTAACAAAATATGTAAGCAAAAAAAAAAAAAAAAAAAAAAAAAAAAAAAACTGGTTGTATGGCATTATGACAAGAAAGATGGTAAAAATTTGAAAAAATAAAATCCAACTCATTAATCAAATCTAAATTATTACTCAGTAACAATAATAACCAAATATTTTTGTTCATTTTGTTATCAGAATGCAGGGACATTGATGTTCTATTTATCAATAAAATGATCATTCTAATGCCAAATTAATAAATAAAAAGATTCAAAATCTAAGAAAGATGCGTTTTAATTTTTTTTTTTTTTTGGCTGTGTGACTAATTTGGTTTATCCTTTGATATGTGCGCTTAATTTGAGATAAATTAGTAATGAATTATATACAATACAGGAAACCCTCACTTCATATAACTTTCACAAATCTAAGGGTTGTTTTCATTTCTTATATTGGTCACTTCTAATCCCAGCAATGAAGGAAAGAGACCTATTTATCACCTTGTAGTAAAAAAAATCCTAAAATTTTATGATCTTATCACCTGACTAGCACATGATGAGATTATAAACAATGGACAAGTTTTATCAGCTCTTTATCAAGGAGGGGCAAAATGCAAGCACATTATATGTCATGAATGCAGTCTGAGAAAAAACCAACTTGGTATAGACTGATTTTCATTGCTATTTTAAAACAACCATACAGTGTTCTTAAATTAATTCTATTACAACACTAATTAAAATTCCCCCTGATCAGTGTTAAGTGGGAAAGGTAAATCTATATCATATAATAGTAAAAGAGCTATTATGTTTGATAATTGCCAAAAATGAAAATTTTACTTCAGGATTTTAGAAAAGAATAACAAAATATTCCAACAATTCTTTAATATGTTTACTCAGTAACTTGTTAAGAGCACATTATCAAATTAAGAGACACTAAAAATCTCTGTAGTAGTAAATGAGTAGGAGAGATAGCCATGTGTACTTACAACCATATCAAACAGAGAGCATGTTATCACTTATTGCCTAATATACTTCATATGTATTTTTAGTGCCACCATCACATGATCGTCTGTTATCACACCCTTAAAGAGTACACACGATACCTTTCATTTATTTTACTGTTGAACTATTCACTGAAAGCTTGCTTGTGCTCTGATATGACAAAATGGCCGAGGCCCTGGTTGCAGCTTTCACGGATAATCTCTTGACATGTAGCATCTGTCTGGGAGAGTATGAGGACCCCCGTGTGTTGCCTTGCCACCATACATTTTGCTATGGATGTATATCTAATCACGCTACGGGAGCAGTGACTCGGGGCAAGACCTTTCCGTGCCCCCTTTGTAGAAAAACGACAAAATTCCCAAAAGAAGGACTCATGAAACTGAAAAAAGATTTCCGTGTTCAAAAGGCAAAAGAACTTTTGAGTCAGCAACATGAAGTCTCCAGGTCATCTATAATGAAAGAACCTGATGAACATGGAGTGGCACATGGCATACAAGAAATGATGATCAAATGTGAGAAACATCCTACAAATGAACTGAAATACTATTGTGAAGATGATGATAGCACTGTGTGTGGAGACTGCGCGATAGCAGAGCACTACAGACACGGTATTGTGACAGTTGAAAAAGCTGCAATTAGTAAGCGTAAAAAGATTAAAACTGCCCTTGAGAAAACACTGTCAAAACAGGACACGTTCAAAGCAGCAGCTATCAAGATCACAGCTAGTGAACTACAGGACTTTCACATCAGGGAAGCCTCCATAAACAATATCAAAAAACAGGCTCAACATATCCGTAGATTAGTTGACCAAAAAGAACAAACACTGATATCAGAGGTAAATTCTGCCTATGATATCAGAAAAAAGCAGAAGAAGGCAAACAAGGACATCCTTGAAAATCACTGTGCCTCCTTGCAAAGTGCCTACAATTTTGCCCAAGAACTTATCACAAATGGTTCTGACTCTGATATCATGATTCAAACAAAAGCTCTGACAGAGAGACTGACAGCGATAGAGAAAATGCCATTTCCGACTCTAGATACACCAGTACAGGTATCCTACTGCCCTGGTAACATATCTACGGTCGGACTGGAAGCCATGTTAGGGCAGGTGGCAGTGCAGTTGGAACTACCATTAGCTGGACTGGAAACAAATCCAAAAACAGTGACACAACCTCCTGTTTTCCTAGAGAAGGCAGAATGTGTGCATTCCTTCAGTGCTAAACAAAAAGATGACACAAGAAATATGTCCATAACAGGGTTGGCTGTAGATGAGCAACATGTGTTTATTGTGGATAGAATGAAAAGAAATAACAGAACAGTGGTATTCACACATGAAGGGCAATTCAAGTTTGACATAAAGCTACAAAGTCCATTTGATGTGGCTGTCTCACAGGCTGGTCACCTGTATGTAACATCACAGGGTGACAAATGTGTCAAAGTATACTCCACCAGAGGTCAGCAGCTGACAACTATGGGTCTGGGACAACTGGAGCTGCCCCATGGAATTACATTGGGCACCAAAGGTCAAGTGATCATTTGCGACAACCCCTTAATTGAAACAAAATCTCTCTTCACCTTCCATGCAGATAGTGGGCTGCTCTTGAACACTATTCCACTCACTATGTGTGCAGACTCGCAGTATATTGCAGTGAACAAGGTGAATGATAACATTGTGATATCAGATTTAGACAATAACTGTGTACATGTGCTGACACCTAGTGGTGATCAGCTGTACCAGTATGGCACACAAGGCAGTGGTGACGGTCAGCTATGGTGTCCTTACGGAGTCTGCACAGATAGCCATGGCCACATTTTCATTGCTGACTGGGGTAACCACAGGATAGTGGCACTGAGTCCACAGGGACAGTTTATCAGATACCTTGCCACTAAGGATGATGGGTTAAAGTATCCAGCAGCATTAGCAATCAACCCTGCTGGCCAGCTGGTGGTGGCAGAGGAAAAGGGCATGGTGAAGACCTTTCAGTACTTATAAAAGACTCATCATTTACTGATTGCTATACTAGTCTTTAAGGTTACAATGTTCAGCATGAAAGGTTAGAGAACCTGCTAAGAAAGACATTCCATGACATACAATACTAACTATTCGACTTTAAGTCTAAGATTGACAGCATATATATTGCAATGCTGAGCTCTAAGAATTTCTATAATGCTATATACTTTAAAATAACTTTAAAAGACACTAAGAATGTTGATGGCATGTCATTGATTACTATGCCTCCAACTGAGGAGGGTTGTTTGGGAGGGGGGAGGTATTTTTCAATGTTATTGATGTAATTAATACGTCATCCATCCTTGTACTTGGCCTATCAATGAGATGCATTATCTGACAATACCCCGAGTCCACCTCTTAAAACTTGTCCATAATAACCACTGTATAGATCTTCTTGCTACTGAACATTTAGTCAATAACCAAAGTGTAAAGTTAAAACTGCCTTTTTATCAAACAAAGCCAAGAAAGCAAATTTTACTTAAGCAAAGAAGATACTGTTTGATAATATAATATCGAGGTGAACTCAAAAATCATATGCCCCCCCCCGGCACCATTTACAAAAAGAGAAAAAAAAAATTTTTTGCTAAATATTAGGTTACTAAGATTCAGCTGGCTTAGTTGTGCTTCTTTTCTTGTTTTATCTGTCTACAATTTTAGCAGCTAGCCACAATGTAAGCCTACTCAGAAGCTACCTATACTCAGTTATTGAGAACAAACTAAATAAAATTTTCAAAAGTACATAACTTCTTCAAGATATACTAATTTCATTGCGTTTTAATCATTTAATTAAATTTGTTGAAAAGAAAAGCTGCCAAATATACACACACCAAGCAGCACAAAACATTGATTCAGAAACAATATTTGAAAATAAATAAATAAATAAATAAAATAATCATACGAGGTCTGGTAGGGTCCATGAGGAGGATAGTTCTAGTTGCAGCCACGGGAGGGTATACATGTTACTGAACATTATAATACAATTTATGCTACAATATTGTACAACAAAGTATATAAAAACCACAGATATGAAAAAAACTTGTGTTTCTTTTTTTGGCCAGTATATATAAATGCACACTACAGCTCTAACCATACTAAAACCCACCTAAATTCATGATGCTCCCAGCTGCAGCCACGGTTAGTGCAGTATACAGGCATGTCATGACCACTTTCACTATGCTGTCCAGTCGGTCAGTGGTCAGTGGCTCCAGTATGGGCAGGGAGAAGGCCCGAAGGATGAAGGACAGGTCATTGGACAGAGACTGAAGGCTGGAGAGAAAGGGAAAATTATATAAAAGTTATGCTGAGCTGGAGAAGAAGGAAAAAAATTAAATACAACTTTATCTGTATCAGTTACGTGATTAAGCCAGTTCGAACCCCTATTTAAAGAGCTATTATTCTTCTTAACCCAATTTCCCCTCCCTTAGTCTTCTTCAAAATTGTGACACAATGGCTTTATCAAATCTCCAATCAATTTTCAACTATGGCCCAGTCCCTTTCCATCCCAGTCTACGCATACTGTATGTATTATTGACCTGTACAGATATATAAACAGAACAGAAAAAGCACGATACAGACAAAACCCAAACTTACGCCAATTTCACAGAGTTGGCCTCGCTGACAAGTCCAGGGAACACAAATCCTTTGTGAGTCCCTCCAATGGCATCCTCGTACCTCAGCCTGTATCTGGCAACGTAGACCAGCTTGGTGCAGGCTTCTACCAGGATTGGCCCTCCGTGTAACTGCTGTAGGGCGATACAGTTCTTGGCTGCAAAGATCTTTCTGGTGTCCTCAGTAGGATCTGGGATGTGAGAGATGGTCATGTCGCCATCACTGGTCATACTCTCCACTGGACCTGGGGAGATAAGGAGGACTTGTGCATAAATCGGGTCAAATTATAGAATAAAACCACATCATTAAATGAGAATATAGTTACATCCATAAATTGGGGCAAGTAACAAAATGAGAATGCATCACTAAATGAGAGCTGATCATGTATATCCCGAAGGGGCATAAAAGCTGCAATAGGATCCAAGGACCAGAAAGTGACAAAATAAGTCAATATATTACTCTATTAACACAATCAACAAGTTCCATTAACAGAAATAAATGATATAAATTATGCATACTACATTACAATACATACCTACAGATGTAAAATGACTATGATAATATATACGATTTATTCGTTTTTTTCCTGTGAAATGCAAGTATGTTCTCTCCGTATGTATGTCAAATAATGCACTGCCACAGCTCTAGATATACAACAAACATCTGGAGCTTAAGCTAGAGGTATTCTGGCATATATCCCTCAGGTGACAGTGTATTATCAAAATTTTACACAGCTCACCTTGGCCCTGTCCTATCTGTCCAGTGTCATCAAATACTGAGGTCAGATGGTCAAAGATGTTCACCCCAGTGTCCAGTCTGGGGCGCTTCAACTCAACTTGTGACGAGGCAGCAACCTCTTCTGTTCCCTCTGTAATAACATGATGATGATGATGATGAAGTTGAGATTTTTTCACATTGGTATTGAATGCTTGTTAAATGCTTATTACTGACATAAGAAGGAATAAAATCATTTTTTTTTGGTAATTGTTAATTTTTCTCAACTTCAATACCATTACAATCTTGTGGCAAATCTTAAATGCTGTACAATGTATATCATTCAATGTAATTTCAAGTAGAAAAACATAACTGGCAGTCCAGTTATCAAAGATGTCAGCCTATTCTCCATACCTTTGTCCTCCGGCCTGATGTGCGGTGGCAGCTTGGCCGACTTCAACATGGCTGTAAAGGTCAAGAGGTCAGATTTGGGCAAACTGGCCGTCCCCTTGCACAGCCCAGATATCAGGATCATCAGGTACTTCTATTGGAAATGAATACATATATAAACTGAATTGTTGTGATAACAAATAAAGAGAGAATAGCTTCATACTCTGACTCAATATCATATCTTTTCAATACTTTTGGTATTTCAAGATTTACTTCATGTTCAAAAACCATATTTATTTATTTATGAAAAAATTTTCCATTATTCCAATAAATTTTTCTGTGGTTTACCTGTGATATGGTGCAGTTCTCATTTCTGTCCTGCAGTCTTGACAACAAGAAATTCAGCAGGATCTTGCAGGCTGTCAGGGTGCTGGAGAGGTTGCTCTTTGGGACTTGAAAAAAAATAAGATAGCTTTTTATCAACTTTAACAAGTGGGAGCAAATGGCAGTTTCTTTGAAGAGAAAAAATACTGTAAAAGGAGTACCTTAGTTATTTAAAAGTCTAGTTACTTTTTCAAAGTGTGCATTCACACCTTAAATGTTTAAATACACTCTTAGCATAATATATAGCAAGCCCCAAACAAAAGCACTCTAAACATTATTTGAAAGGATCATACATTTCATATAAACATCCACTTGACACATATTATAAAATTAAAGCACTTACTTTCCCCAGCATTGGCACTGAGATAGTGGCATGCAAGGGCCACATAGGAAGAATAGAAACCTTCATATTCTTCATCGTGTGTCAACAGCTGGGAATCACTGAAACTACAGCAGAGATTATATATTTTTAGGAAAACCATGTTGATAACAAAGAATCCAGATATGATACACCTTGCACACACAAAAACCATGCATGAATGTGAGTAATGCCACTCTATTTTTTGATTATTGACACCATGCGATAATTCAAGTAGTAGGCTATTTGATAGCATGGTGTATGTGACAATCAATGGAGTTCCATACTGATGTATGTCATACACACTTTGCTGACTTATGGACTATGTGTTGCATACACTAAAGAGTATTACTCATAAGACAAGAGTGGGATGAGACTAAACATCTGGGTTTGGGTACAATTCAGCATGTTTTTTTATTATAAAAAATCAAATTATATATGAACGATAAACTGGTGAGATTTAGTTCTATGTTATGTTAGCCATGAGACATTATATCATTTTATTATTTCATGCCACTGGCCAAAACATCATGCAAAAAATAAGTACATGTAAAGTCATTGTAAAATAAAGTGAAATCAAAAATAATGAAATAAAAATTAAAATTTACAAAACAGCCATAAAAAAAAAGATGCTATTGATCGATAACTATTTCTGTTGTATCACATTCACAGGAAAAATGAATGAACAAAAGTTGACAGCCAATGCGTTTTTGAGTCAAAATAGCAAAGTCACAGATCTAATCTATTTTTATCAATTACATTGTCTCCTTGCTGAGACTGGGTGCAGCACGAATGAAAACGGTCAAATTTTGCAGCAATCTCACAATATATAAACCCATGTATGACATTCCTTACCTCTTTAGAATGAATTCTACTACATCTGGTATTTCAGCTGGGATAAAACTTGAATTAGACGCAGGTAGCAGAGGTTTTACACAAGATGACCAGTCTACCTCTGCACTTCCTGCCATTTTCGAAAGTTGTGTAGCAATGAGAGAAGATACCCCGGAAATGAAAACGATAAATACTTTACAAACTTTCTGTAATAAAATTTAATTAAGATCCAAATGAAAAATTAAGATGACAAATCATAATATTACTCATATATTTCAGCTGAAAAACAATATCATACAATAAGCATCATCGCACTATTCTCTAAAATGGATGTAAGCGGAAGTTGTGCCTCAGTTTGAAAATCGTTAAGTAGGTCAGCACTACAAACAAAAATCGATGCATGTCACTGTCACTCGTTGTTGTGTGTTCAATTATTTACGGGATAAGGGCGTTCACTGAAATGCAGTGTAATGAAATCACGCAAAAGTCACAGATAAAGGATTCAAGAGAGTGTAAGTACAACACCGGTTATCTGATGGAGGAAAATAATTGTGGGGAAAGTTTTGTTAGATAACTGACTCTAACAAGTGCCCGCATCTTTTGAAATTAGCTGAATTTCACGGTTGCTTCTGTTTTGACTTTAAAATACACAGTGGATATTTAAAAAAGGTCATGCACGCGGATTTGGTATGTTGTTTCTGCCTTTTTAAACTAGGATTTAATATATTTTATTTTAAAGTGCAAGTGTTGAGGAAAACTTTTTATGAATAGATGTTTGTTTAGTTTGAGAGGCAGTGTGTTGACTTAAAATTATTATTAATTAAATTGTCTTGTGTGTCTTTTTTGTTCATTTTATGCCTTATTGATGTTTACTACTCTGTGAATTGTAGGAACGCATTTCAGGCATGTAATGAAATCAGAAAACATATCTATTGAATTCAGTGCCTGCCTTATGAGGTGAATAATGTCACATTAAATGGAAGCATGATGTCGAATTAAACTGCACATTATCTTTATGCTTTAGGTTCCTCATGTGTGACATGGATTAGATGTAAAGCAGCAAATATGGGAAGCTGAAGTACAGAGAAGATGACTCTACCAGGGTGATTTTTAAAGAAAAAAAAAAAGATCAAAACTGAAACAAAAGTGAATGTAACAAATCATTCCATGATTTGCTGAAGAAAATACACAAACATGTATTTATCAAATCACAAGTGCCACACATGTAAAAAGGAAATCTGTTTATTTTTTATATTCATTTTACTCCCTTGTATATGGAGTCAGCAGCCATGTTCCAATAGTGCATGTTATCCAGCCTTAGTGAACCTTCTCTCAGGTATAGCAGATGGCACATACTCAAACCGCACTGTAGCTGGGAGATCCACATGTGGCATCCCAACTGCCACCAACTATACCAAACTTACCAGCACAAATGACCCCACTGTATATGTATGCAGCTCAGCTGGTAGCTCCTCCCACCCAGCCAACCCTTATTTATATGATACGCAACAGGTCAACTCTGGAGTGGAATTAGTTATCAGTCCTGTTGACTCCACGTACTGGCAGTCTCAAAACTCAGTCTCCGACCCCAACGGAGACCCTGTCCTAGAATGGATTGAGATCAACCTAGGGGATCGATTTCTCATAACAAAGATCGTGATGACATTTGTGAGTCCGCACATTCCTGCAGGGGAGCTTTCGGATGCGAGACCCAAAGCCACGGTGATCGAAGTCAAAGACCATGCGAACTCGGACAGCTGGAGAACTTGGCGTTACTATGCCCAGGACTGTAGTAAATATGTGTGGTTACACAGCCAGGTCCCAGGGGGGCCGGTACGGACAGGACCCACCAATCCCATCTGTTATCAGGGGTACTACGCAGGGGATACAATTACACAGTTACAGGACTCTAACTTACAGGAGGTGAGGTTTTTATCGTATAGTTTTACATGTACTTTAATTTGGCATTTTTTTTTTATCACAACAACTTGTTTTTTGCAGATTTCTGATTTCAACAGAATCCCAGAAAAATCTGAAAAATGAAATTTGTTAATTTTTTCCTTGCTAACAGTATCTTTAAACTTCTTTGGTATAAGTGCACCAGATTTAGAAAGCAATTTGCATGCAGTTTTTGTGCTATAGTCTATTTTGCTCAAAAACTATTGATAGATTCAGTCTAGAACCAAAGAATATGTTATTATGTACCTTGATGTTTTAGTTGAAAAGTGGGCACAAAAATTTTAACCAGTTTACTTGAGGTGAAGAGATAGATGATAACAGATGTATCAGCTATTTAAGTTACATTATGGGATATTAATTTGAATTAAAAAATGTCTTTATTGGTCTTCACATAATGACATTGAAATAACCTTCATTTTCCTCACTTTTATCCAATGGGTTCTAAACCTAATGAAAACTGTATATTATGTTAAAAATATAAGACATTGTCACTTTCAGATCTTTTACCAATGTCTATTCAAGAAGTACAATAAATATGTAAACTTAGTTACATACCAAAGCCCTATTTTATTTTTAACCATACTTTATATTGCTGTGTTTCAGGTCATTTACCATCCTCTCAGGGACTGGTCATCCCAGTTCTTCACCTCTGCATCCCAGAGCCACTACACAGCGTATTCCATACGACTCCGGTTTCTAATTCCCGCAGACTCCACACCCAGTAGCTCGTACTTCGCTGTCAGCAACATTGATATCCGCGGTCAGTGCGCATGTTTCGGACATGCTGCAGAATGCACAGGACCAGTAAGTAGATTGGTTTGTGATACTTAGTCTGCCCATGTTTTTCTGCCTGTCCGGAAAAGTACTAGTAGGCCAACTTTGAAATGTGTAAGTAATATATATATTTATCATTTTGAAATATACAACTCAAATCAAAGCCATAATGAAAAATGTAAAATGAAAAAAAAAAACTTACACGTATAAAATCTATCAATATCCAAGGTGCCATTTTTATTTTGAAATTAATAACCTGTTTATTATATTCAGAATCAAGCAGAGTGTGTATGCCAGCACAACACAATGGGCGTCAACTGTGACCAGTGTCTCCCCCTATACAACAACAGGTCGTGGCAGGCTGCCGTTGGAGACCAGATAAATGCTTGTCAAGGTGAGCATGGTTATCACTTTCTAGTAAAAATAAAAGCCTTATAAATTTATCTGGAAATCCAAGCAAATATTTGGGTGTTGTATTTTAACCCCCCCCCCCCCCAAAAAAAAATCAGATGTTAATAAATTGATGCTTCACACAATATATATATATATATATATATGTTAATCTTGGGTTTATTTTGAATATTACCAAAAGGATATAATGAGCCATTTAAATTACACAGCTCTTAGAATGGAAATTGAAATCATTATGCAAGCTTTATTTGGCATCAGCCCGAACCTAAATTATTTGCTTGATCAGTAGAATGATATAAATGGGTTGTTAAGTTTATACCAAATATACTTTAATATTGTGCATTTTTTAAAAAAAATTTTAAGTGAAGAATTAGTGTGATGGATCAGTTAAGAATACAATAAATTTCTGACCAGTTATTATTAAGGTCTTGTCTGAAAGTTGATGATAAAACCTGTACCCTTTTCTTAAAAACAGCAAAGTATTATCAATGATTATTTATGATTAAATTTTAAGTACACAATGAAACCTATGTGCAATGTATAAGATATCTACCACATTACTAAGTCAACTTACCCATATTTCAGAGTGTGGCTGTAATGCCCATGCCGAATCGTGCCATTATGACTCAGGAGTGGGGTACGGAATATGTGACAACTGTGGCTATAACAGCACAGGACACAAGTGTGACCAGTGTATTAGTAACCATTACAAGGCCAATGTCTCAGACATACCTGGAGTGGCTTGGGTTTGTAAAGGTAAGATAGTCTGGAAATTAGTGTGAAGTAATTTTTTTATTTTCTTCTGTGTAGAAATACCTGACATATATAGTCCCCTACAATAATCATGTACTTAATTTTCAACATTGAATAATAATGATAATACATTTATTTTTAGTCTAAAATCCATTAAAAACATTTAGTAGACTTTACATGAAAAAGCAAGCACCTAAGAACACAATTACCATGCTATGTAAAAAAAGTATATATATATAAAGAAATATTATGATTCAAAAATAGCCTAATTTTCACATAAAACCAGTATATCAGTCAAGAAGATGTAGAAGATTCACATTCTAGAAGATGTGATATGGTCCATGGACAAGGGGTTAGGGGGTTCAGAAAAAGTCCTCTCTTAATCAAAATTTGATCTAGGTTCTACAACATATATATTTCATATTTCAAGTTTTTTATACTAAGGGGACAAAAAGGTCCACATTTTCAAAAAAGATCACCTTTGGCATGTTTGTTTTCAATATTGATTTAGGTTTTACAAAATTCTACCACTAATTGCATAATTTATAAATTGTATTGAGAATTTGGATGGGTTGGGTCACAGATAAATAATTAGGTAGCTTTGGTGTAAAGAAAGCAATTTGTTTTTTATTTTTTTCAAGCGTGTGTGTGAAACACTTCATCTGAATCCATGAAGTGGCACATAAAGACATGAATTCCTGCACTTGTAATTTTAAAATCAGCACTGACATAATCTTTACCAGTAACTGATTATGTAATTGGACCACCAAGCACATGAAATCTGATTAGTCACCACTCAGCTGTCCCATTGAAAACCATGGTGATGTTGAAGTGCCTGTCATTAATGCAGCAGCTATCTGTGTTCTTTTCACATGTGGTGTTTGTAGAGTGAATATGGAACACCAGCATATCATCAGTAAAGGTGGACTGAAACAAGAACAGCTCGATAATCTCTGCTTGGAAATTAGTTGATAGAATTTGCTTAAAGATAGAGAAACTTGATTTTAAGATGCCAATGGAAATATTGATATTAATTTTTAAATGCCACATGTTGTGTAATGGGAAGAACTGAATTCAATCATTCTGAATGCCAAAGTCTGGATTCTAAATAATAACAGTTTAAACATTTGTAATTCTCAGTCTGTGGTGCATGCTACAGATACTTAAAAAAACTCATGTAGTAGTAACATTAGTGGTGTAGAAAATAACTGATTCAAATGATAAAAAAATATAAAGTGGAAATTCTTGGCAAGAATTAGATAAATTTTCATCAAACAAATTGTGTAGCTCCAAAACAGAACTAAGCCAGGAAAGGCTAAGAAGTAATCACATTTGGCATTTGCTGGTATTAATTATTCACATAAACCAATCAGCATGGTGCAGCACAGTGAATAAAGGACTGTTTTCAAGAATTTTTATACCCAAACCTGTATAGGTTTTTTTTTTCTAGAAGGGAGACATAAATGTTTCCAGACAGCTGTAGGGTTTGAAAGTCATAGTTATTTGGTTACAATCTGAAGTTTGAACTGTTGGTACATGACGCATATTTAAATTTAAATGTTAATCATAAATCAATGACTTTTCTAGTACAAAGTTAACTTGACATGCCATTTTTTTTTCAAAATATTTCATTCCAGAACAATGGATTTTTTTTTTCTTTTTATAAATCTTGATCAATTATATGCAATTTTCCCATGTAGTCTGCTTGTGCAGTTGAAATAAAATATGCATGTCTGTAATCAGAAAACTAGTTGCGTGCGTTATGTGGTGGAAGGAGGCCAAATGACATAAGATAGTCAGCACAAAATCAGATTCTTAGTACATATTGATTTATAGATTTTGTCCCTCATGATTACCTACCAAGCCTAGATTTCATAGATTTTTAACAATTCAGAAAACAGTACAAATAATTATTAATGTATTGTGATATTGCGGTAGCATCTGCAAAATTACTCCACCCTTCTGTTTGAGCAATTGTTTACAGAACTTTGTGTGAATTACTCATTTTGCTGTTAGTATGCCATGATGTGGTTGAGTTTTATGTGTTTACAGATGAATAATGGAGATATTGTACATATTATTATAATATTAAATCAACATAGAGCACATGTTATGGCTTGGTATTTCTTATATTAGATAAAATGTTTATGCAGTGCCTTCCAGAAACATGTGGGTTGTCATCTATTGGATATCTATTGAATGTTTACTTTTATACATCGCATTACTAATTCATCTTTCCCTTTTAACATTAAATTTGATCATCCTCAGTTATAGAGTCACATATGAAATGATTTATTGTCTTCTATTTGAATGCATATTAGGGGAGAGACATGCTGGCTCCATGAACATGAATTTTGAGTACACTTTTGGAGCTTTTTTCTCAAGGACACCGTTTCAATTTTTTTCAAACACTATATACAGTAGTAATACAGTACATAATTCTAGACCTATCCTTGAATTTTGTCTTAAACTACATTGCCCTCTGTTGTAATGTTTAATTCTGAATATTGATGATAATGTAGTCTAAATATTTTAAACAATAATGCTCTACTTAGCAATCACAGAACTTGTTGTCAGAATATGCGCCCCAGTGTCTTCTTGTTGTACTTATTTTTTAATTGAAAATGCCAAAAAATGTTGGGAGTAGTGGAGTAGAAACATCACTATCTACCACATGCAGTCTTACATTTATAAGTCAATTTCATAACTTTCTACTCTGGGCAATGTACAGCATTATATTTGAGCAAAAAAAAAAAGATAAAGTTTCAACTGCAGACATTTTATTGAAGAATATATTTTGATGAAATTATGTCTCATGTACAAATGATATGAATTTCAGAATGTGATTGCAATCGAGATGGGACCCTTGCCAGTAGTGGTTACGTCTGCAACAGCGAGACAGGGCAATGCTCGTGTAAAGCACATGTAACGGGACGGACATGCGACCAGTGTAGGGATGGGTACTGGAACTTCCAGGCAGCTAACCCTGATGGATGTCAGGGTACTTACAGAGAATTAATGAATGTTTTTGAGAAAGCTTTAAGCTGTACTGTATGAACAATTTTGAAGAAGTTTTGGGTCTTTTGACACATGGCAGCCCTCATTAATTTCATGATTGGTGCAAAGTGGTTAAGTTTAACTTTATGCTGATTTTATTTTGGCTTTGAAAATTATAGAAAATAGATGTAACTGATATATATACATGTTGTAACTAAATATGACTCAGTGCATGGAATAAAATTGTTAAATTCAAACTGACTGCTATTTTACAGCCTGTAACTGTGACCCTGTGGGATCCCTTGGTTCCATCAATTTCTGTAACAAAGACACTGGAGTGTGTGTATGCAAGCAGAACACACAAGGCCAGAGGTGCAGTGAATGTAAGGTGGGTAGTAACATATTCACTGTGAGGAAAATTAATGATTAAATATCTGACAGTGTACAGATAGGAGTTACTGTAGTGGGATACCACTGACAGGTATTGTGTATTTGATTATAAACATTAATCTGAATGATTAATAACTGAATAAAACAGCGAAAACAGATTTTAGAGCAACAGACAACTTTCATATCTTATATCTATAGATTTATTTCTTAAAAGTACAGGAATATGCATTTTGTCACCATCAGTGTCTGTCCATGTCACATGTAATTTTAATTTTTAGTACTGAACAAGCTTTTTCTGCTAATAGCACTGTTATAGTTATTTTATGAATAAAATGAAGTCATTGACCCCTTCAGCCTGGTTTCTTCAATCTGACTGTGTCCAACCCAAGTGGCTGCCAGTCATGTGACTGTCTTCCTGGAGCATCAACAAGTTCTGTCTGTGTTGCCAATGGCAACTGCTGGTGTAGGAGATCTCTGATTGGTCGAGACTGTGGAACGCCCATCACAGGATACAATGTGCCAAAGTTGGACTACTTCTATTATGAAGCTGAATCTGCTCTTTTACCTGCTGTATGTGTGAAGATTTAAAATTAGATATATTCTAGACTATATTTTGAAGTAGAGAAGTGTAGATTATTCAGAACAACATATTTTTACTGTACCAGTATTTCAGATAAAATAGTCTCTACTTGGGAATTTCTTTTACATACCTCTAAATATAATTTTAGTCCAAATTTTTCTATCACTTTTTCATCTTGGACATCCCATAGAGTCATCATCATAATGCCACCAAGCCATTTCTTCCTCCTCTTTGCATACAACCCAAAATCATGTCTGTTTTTATACCAGTAACCAAAAACAGATAACAGTCATGTTATATAATTACAGAGTGCAGTGGTCAAGGAGGCCTCAGGAGGGAATATGCCAGGCTCAGACTTCAGTGGCAGAGGCACTGTGGTGCTACAGGTCAACAGTTTAGTGCAGTTTCAGATACAAGTTCCCAGAACACAGCGCTATGATATACTGCTAAGATACAAGGTAAGCTGATTACTAATATAACAGTCTTCTCTGTACTACTGTACTAATGTCATGTTGAGGTAGTGGTTACAGTGCGTAGGTTTAATATTCACCATTTAGTCAGTGGCTGATGCATTTCTACTCTGGGAGGACCTTGAAAGACCCTTTCCACATGTGTGGACTACTGTAGTATTTCTTCTTTTAATAGAAAATTAGAAAATCATTCTATTGGTCATATCAGTGCCAGAACTAAACGGAAGGATCTTCTGCTATTTCTGCTTAGAGAAGCATTGGATAACAACCTTTTGTGAATGTCATACATTGTAATATTCAGAAAAATGCCTTTCATCCATGTATTACGTAGACTTGCCCTTCAAGAAATCGACGGAAAATAGCTCTTTTTCAATTTTGAATGGGCACTGTAGAAAACATATAACAGCTAAAGCTCTCAAATTAAGCACATATGTGTGATATCATGTGAAGAATAAGTTCTGTAAATTTCAATCCAAGCAGTTGAGTACATTTTGAGACAGAACGCTTTAAATGTGCAGCCAACCGTAACGCTAATCCCTTCAAGATCTTGACGAAAACCGGAAGTGCCTCATGACGTCACTCGCTTCTACTTGGAAAGCTGCTGGGTAATTTTCCGATGAGAAATATTTCGTGGTTCATACAAATGTTCGGAAAATGACCATGCAGATAAAAGAAAACTCACTAATCAAAATTGAAACTGCGTAATTACATAGAAAAACATTGTGCTTTCCTGACCTCGACTTGTCAGTGTAAACAAAGTGTACTGAATGCATCGCAAGCAAGCACGTGAATGCCGCGTTTGATACTTTGTATCAGACGCTTCGTTTTACTTGACAACACAGTGTTTACGATGGGCAATGACAGGAAAAACAGTGCAAAAAACACGCACTTCCGGTTTTCGTCGATTTCTTGAAGGGCGAGTCTAGATATTTTACGATTTATTTTCTCTTTGAAGTTGCAGAAAAGAAGTGTAATATTTTTATGAATACTGTAACTTTTTTTCATCTTCATCATGTTCTTGTGTGTTTTTATATATATTTAGCTATATTCATTAATTTTGTTTTCTTCAGAGTGATACCAGTTGGCCGTCTGCTCAAGTGACCTTGACCCCTGTGGGTGGTTCTGCTTATACATGTGCAGGGCAGAGTTACAGCTCTGGGCAAGTTCTGCAGTATGGAGAGGCAATTATGTCCACTTCTGGAAGAGGTGAGACAAAATGTTGTTATTCTAATCTCATTGAAAACAGCTTTTTAAAATCATTTATTGGAATGTATATGCATTATGTCGCAAGGCTGGGACTAAAAATAATTGCATGCAGTTGTTAACATTATGCTTTTATACACATTTGGATGTGTTGTTTTTAACAAATAAATAACAGGGGGAAACAGATGGAATTAACAGTTCAAATGTAGACTTTCATGGCCCTTTTGACACATTTAAGACTCCCTGATGCACTTTCATAATATGGATCCCAATTTCTAACAAAGAGATTGAAATGTTAGCCATTGACAATGTTCCAAAGCAAATGTACTAGCTTTTTTTGACCAGGTAGTTGGTTCCCAGCTCAGTCACTGCTGGTCACCTTAGCACGAACCTTGCTGACAATGCAGGGACTTTTTTGGTCAATCTTTAAATAATTGTGTGTAAAAAATTCTAGTGTATGTCATCGCACTCCACCCTGAGCTTCAGAGCTAACTTGACACTAACCTTTTCACTGTAGCCTATCTCCATCGTGTCAAGTAACCTCTGACGAAAATAGTTTGACCTATTTTATATAAGCCAATCGAATCCATGTTTCAAAATTTTTCACCAAAGTTTGGTGAAAACGCTGATTGGTTGATCGTCAATCGGCAATCCTCGGCTGATTCCGCAAGCTCCATACTAACAACATAGTTATTGTCGAGTGCGGAGACATCCGAGTAGTTCCGAGTGGTTCCGAGTGCATAACCGTACACAAAGAAAGCATGGAGTATATCGGAATTGAAACCAGAGCAGTATGATGCCCTGCATCATTATCTACTGAGGGATGATGTTATTTGCGTGCTGCCCACAGGTTACGGCAAGACCCTGATATTCAGCCTTATCTTTGATTGGTCCGGATTTGAACAAAGCGCGCTTTGACTCGTTCGCGTTCATTGGCTAGATCGTTTAATGAGTCATTGAGTGCGGGCTTTTAAATTTGATTGGCGGGCGGCGGAGGCAATCGAATCTGGTCAGAGGTTACTTGACACGATGGAGATAGGCTACAGTGAAAAGGTTAGTGTCAAGTTAGCTCTGAAGCTCAGGGTGTCGCACTCTGACAAATAAAAAAAATATATATATCATATGTCAACATTTTATTATCATATGGATTGAAATTACAGTGTTTTTCACATGTGATGGCAGACCGGATGGTAATCGTTACCCACATCCGTACAATTGCCAGCAGTTCTACCAGTGTTCCAATGGGTTTGCCTTCCTCCAGAACTGCCCAGGGGACCTGGTGTTCACATCAGAGGGTGGGGGGCTGTGTGTACGGGGTCAATGCACCGACACTGCTCTCCCGCCCGTTTTGACTCGTGAGTGACAGTGGGGGGTGTGGCTTCATGAGATAAGGCATTTTCTGGGTGTGGTTTCAAGTTGCTGGGCTGTTGTGGAATGGTGGATTTTTTTGGGGGTGTGGCTCTTGTGGGTGTAGCTTCTACAAGGGTTGAAATATGGCTGGACTGGATTTGATATTCTCATCATCTTCTTATGTTGAACTTTATCTTGTGTGGCTTTTAAGGGCTAAGGTTCTCTCATAATGACCTCAGGCATTGAATTTTTATGATTATTTGATCTAAAGGGTTAAATCCTCTGTAGAAATAGCTTGGGGATTGGCAAAAATCTGTTGATAAATCTATCCTTGGGTGGGACATCAGTAACTGCCTGTCATTGTGTGAGGTTTAAGGACTGACTTAACTTGGGTGTGGCTTCATGGATTTCCTATATATGACACTTTTCTTTACTAACTACCAGTGCTCCTTCAAAAACTAACATCTATGGTTGTGGCTTCTGGGTTTGACTAGCTATCTGTGGGTGTGGCTTTGGGACTGACAATTATTGGGGGTGGCTTCAGAAACTCACAAACAGGGTTTGATTTTTCTATTGTTTTAGTTTTTCAGGAGAATACTTCTTTTAACTAAAATGTTTTGTGATTTTCAGGTAGAAGGCTTTCAACATTTCTTGATTATATGTCAATGCTTAACTAACATTTCATTTTTTTTTTGTTTGTTTGTTTTTTGTTTTTTTTGTTTTTTTTTTTAGAAAACATATTTTAGACATCTTTTATAATTAGAAATTATAGTTGGGAAATGCTTTAAGGTTGATTTAGGTTAGCTTTTCAGATCATTTAAATGATGAATACACATTTATAGATAAAGAAAACTCTAATTGCATAGTTATTAGGTAGAAAGCAGCATTATCACCAGCTGTTCTTGGTGGCCTTTTTTGAAAAATCACCTCAATCATTATTATATACTTCCAAAGGTGCTGTTATTTAATACACTGTTATATTTTATAGAAACTGTGACCTATGACACTGGCTGCCTACAGGCTGGTACCACCTACACACTGGCCTTGGCTTTAGGACAAGACAACAGCACACTGAATGGAATGACTCTGGAGTTAGATTTGGTATGCTACATGTAGTTGAGAATTAATATATCTTGCCCTAAATCCTTGTTTTGATACTACTTTGTAGTCAGAGTTAGTCTACTGATAGCCAGTGTGCCCTATCAAGGCTCAGTATAAAATAAAGTTAAATTATAGAATCATTTAAAATGTTAAGCTAAAATGATTATATTCACTGACTGAATTCTGACTGTATTTTATTTTTAATGCTGTGCAATGACATATTGTGATAGAATGAACCCTATGATATCAGTGATGGAAGTTCTACACAAATCTTCTGGGAATTTTCTATGTTTCCTATTGTCTCGTGTATATATCGAGTATATTGGAAAATCCTTGATATTTTACAGATCATGGTCTTGCCCTTGCTGGATGATCTGACCACTTATCAGACCAGCAGCAATACCCTGCCTTACATTGTGTGTATGGAGGCTGTGAAAAATCTGGAATTTCAGCAGCAGCTTGACTCTAACTGTGGGTTGTATGAATATTCTCTCATGACTGAGCTGTTTAATGGAGCTATTGGTGAGTTCATTTTGTAATTTATTTGGAATCTTTTTTGTCTGTGTGAAATAAGTATGCTTTATCTGTTAATAATATAAAACGTGATCGTAAGCAGTGATATGATTTGAATTTGGGTACAATTTAGGATGGTTTTATAAATATTTTGACTTTGATATCAACATTTTGCTTTCAAATCAATAATGCAATACATCATAAGAATGCACATATTGAGTTTATGATATTCTGAGTACATTTCATCAGAACAAACTTGTTGTTATTTCTCAGTTCTCTATCCTTTGCTTTCAGTGCATATACATATCATTGCAGATATATAATAGATGTTTATTTCCTGTCTATTTATGCATATTTATTTCTCGCCATCTTCAGGTTGCTCATGTAATCCTACTGGCACTGTACCAGGGACAAACTGTAACACATATGGCGGAAAGTGTGTCTGCAAGCCTGGGGTGGGCGGCAGGTCATGTGACCAGTGCCTGGCCAATCATTTTGGCTTTAGCAGTGGTAATGGATGCACAGGTATGGTCTTTTCACTTTTTTTTGCCCCAAAAGATGGTTTCTGTTTTGCATGGGGTGTCTGCAGATGGGTTAAATGCCATGCGATTTTTAAACATTCAAATAAATTTGTGAAGGCATAGATTTTTCCACCTTAAAGGAGTATTTTGTAACCAGAGGAAAACAAGAGATTTCTCAGTTGTAGATGTGCTTGCATAAAGAGCAAATGTAAGTATGGATTTGTGTAGAGATTTCTGATAAGGACTGCCTATTGAAAGACAACATACTGGGCTAACAGTGACTGTTGTATATTTGGTTTCAGCATGTGGTTGTGATGTGTCAGGATCTGTGACAGAATCTTGTACTGAGACAGGTGTGTGTACCTGTAAGACTAATGTCACGGGAACCAAGTGTGACATGTGCATTGCTGACCACTATGGCTTGTACACAGGTAATGGAAGGTTGCGCAGATGAAAATTAGTCTTTGAACATGTCAAGAAACAATATTTACATATGTACTTTCTGAAAGTCATGCAATGTGTAATGATTGTTGCAGCCCTCAAACAATGCACATTTTATTATGAGAAATTGCTCTTTCAAAAAATTGCTTCTATTGTTGTTAAATGTTGAAATTTTGTAGATGAAACCCACTGTTAATAATTTTTAAGAAAAGATGTTTCAAGCTCCAATTAGATTGGGTTTATTGAAGTATTTGAAATTCATTTCTCTTTCTGTCAAACATATGCCTGCCTATGACACATTATACCCTCTGTGAAAAAAAATATAGCAATGATGATGATAGAAATCAATTTATGACCTTGTTTGATTATAGGCAATGGCTGCCAGAGATGCCAGTGCCATCTGGTGTACTCCTTCAACAACTCCTGCAGTGACAGTGGACAGTGCCCTTGTAAACCTGGCGTAGGTGGACTGACCTGTGACCAGTGTCTAGATGGGTGAGTTTATGTTTAATATCTTAATGACAGTGGACAGTGTCCAGATGGTTGAGGTTGCCTGACCACTTATATGAATGTTAAACTTTTCAGAAAAGTTGTATGCTGGACATCATTTTACAGCTGTAAAGGAAAATGATGGCATCGCATATTCAAATACATATTAATTTCAGATTATATGCCCTCTCACAGATTAATTTCAGATTATATGCCCTCTCACAGATTGGAGCTATAGTTCAAGATCCATATTACTTTCAGTTTCTATGCCCTGTCAGAGGTGGGGTGTATTCCGTGTAGTTGTAATGTTGAAGGCAGTGCGGGTGGTATATGTAACAATGGGACAGGTGCCTGTCAGTGTAAACCACTAACCTCGGGGACCAAGTGTGATACCTGCCAGTTTGGTGAGCCCTTTTTTCAAGAGATTGTCATAAGACTTTACATTTTTCTTTAATGACATAAAATCCTTTTTCCAAGTAATTGCCATAAGAGTATACCTTTTTCTTATAATGACATAAGATAATTTCCACTTGCAACACTATAACTTATGGTTTTGTGGAATACATAAGGTACATAACTTATTTTATTTGATGACATTTTATACGCCATATATTACTAACTACCATAACCAATTAATTATTAATTACTCTCCACTTCAGGATCCTATGGCCTGGGTACGTGGGACACAGACACTGGGTGTATTCCGTGTTTCTGCTCTGGCCACACTGTCTCCTGCTCCTCAGCCACTGGCTGGTACAAGACCACTGTCAGTGACACCTGGTCTGTAAATGATAATTCTATCACAGAGGATGGCTGGGCAGGTGTCAGCCAGACTGGGAACACTGTTCCTACCAACAGGCCATATATATTTGGTGTACCCTTGCAGTAGGTTCTACTTTTGGTTACAACATATTTGTTTTGATTGGTTGGTTGTTTGATTGATTGAGTCAATGAAATTAAAATCAGATGAAAAAAATTTTTTTTGATTTACTCATTTTCTCATTTTTTTTACACCATAAAAGGACATTCTTGAAATGTAACAATATTAGGATGTAGAGTTTTTGGAAACCAGCATATTATTTACAGTTTGAATTACATTTTGATGGCATTTTTTAAAAATAACAAAAAAAAAATTATAACATTTCAAAAGATGATAAATATTTCCCACAATTTCAGACGAGCAGTGCAGATCATCAACACTGGGAACAACCTTGGTCTCCCCGACATTTACTTCTCTGCCACGCCCAAATACCTGGGGGACAAGAGGGGTGCTTACGGCCAGACCTTCTCTGTGGATCTGTCCTCCTCAACACTGGACTCTCCTGTTAACAGTACCACAGGGGATGTGGTTCTCACTGGTGCCTATACTGACTTCGTGCTGGTGACCAATTTACCCAGCATGCCTGGTTCAGTTAGGACTTCTTATCAGGTGGGTGTAGTATGGCATGGTCATTGCAGGGGCAGATTGGGCTTGGTCAAAACCCCCTTTCTGAATGACACTAGAAAAGATGAAATTTAGACAAACTATGCAAAATTTCTTTGCTGTATGTATGAAAGAGTGACAGACGGATTGTTTTAAGATGTCACGTCTCTGCCGTCCAGTGAGATGGTTCTCATCAGTGTACAAATCTTTTATGCCGCAGTCAATATGTTCACAATTTTAATGGTCTTTTTTTTAATGAAAAAATTGACCAAAGACTCTTTCCATTTCAGGTGGTACTTCACCAGTCTCATTGGAGATTAAATGCCACAAATGGTCCCCAAGCCTCCCATCAACAGATGTTACAGGTGCTCTCTGATCTCTCTGCCATATGGGTCAGAGCTAAGTATAGCAATGTAAGTCCTATCTCTGCCATATGGGTCAGAGCTAAGCATAGCAATGTAAGTTCTATCTCTGCAACGGGGGCAGAGCTAAGCATAGCAATGTAATGTCTTTGTCTGCAATATGAGTCAAAGTAAACTGACTGATTGTAGAGCACTGAAAGATAGAAACCACCTGCCAAATGTCCAAGATTGGTTGAAGTAAATTATATATTCCAGTTTTATGAATGTCATTTTGAGGTTTCATTTTGGGAATATCTAAGAGGCTCATTCCTGTGCTATTTCAGGTTGATAATTCCCATGCCATATTGTACTTTGGGGAGTTAGAATTTGCAGTGAATACAGTGACACAACTTAATCCACTAAACAACATAGAAAACTGCACCTGTCCACAGGGTTATATGGTAAGAGATCTGTTATTTTGAACCACAATATGTAATTATAGATATCTCAAGTCATAAGTCTGACCTATGAATTTTTTTTACATAAAATTTATATTACTTTGATATGAAGTAATCTTTGCAAATAAACAGTTGATAATTGTTCCATATTTCATGGCTTATATTTAAGTTGAAAATTTTATGAAATGGTCTATATGAAAAATTAAGTTAATTTTTGGGAAGGTAGGTAGGTAATAGGTATTTGTGTCAATAAAGTCTACTCTTTTTAATAGAAATATATTTAACCATGCACAGGCCACTGTGGTGTTGCTTTTTTTATGGACAGACCCTGTCTGGACATATAGCCATCACCTGTATCTGTATATTTCCAGTAATTGCTTCATTTTAAACTGTTTTCATGCCAGTGCTTCCATCATTTTTGCCAGTTATGTCTATCTATTTGACATCTTTGCTGCATTGTTTGACCAGTATTTTGTGTGCTGTCCAGGGTCAGTTCTGTGAGCAGTGTGCGCCAGGATACAAACGACAGGTCCCCAATGGAGGCCCCTTCATCCAGTGTGTTCCATGTCAGTGCAACAGTCATTCCGAACCTAACCAGCCTTGCAACAGCGAGACCGGCACATGCACATGTATACACAGCACGACCGGGCCAACGTGTGACACTTGCTTGCCTGGTTTTTATGGGGATGCAGTGGCAGGTTCTCCAGGTGAGTTTCACTGTGTTGCCATGGCAATGTGGTCAGCAGTTGCTATGGGAGGCAGGTTGCTATGGTGAGACATTGGTATGCTTTGTATTTGAGAGGAAAACTGGAGGACCCATCTCTGACATGTTTTAAGGGTTTTTTCCTGTAAATCCTTTTCTTTCTGTCAATATATTTTCTTAAAAGGAAGATAATCAAGTTAGTTAATCATACAGACACCTTCAGTATTTTTTTTTCATTAAGTTAAAAATTAAAATTGCCACCTTTCAGCTTCAGTGTGATAAATTGGATGTCAATAGCAAAAAGTTACCTTGCCATTTTAAATCAACATCTCTGAGTATATGTTCTCTACACTTGTGTTATAACTTCAGATGACTGTAGGCCCTGTATGTGCCCAGGCAATGTAGTCTCTGGCGACATAAATGTGTTCGCTCTGTTATGTACCCTGGACCAAGATGGCAGTCCCACCTGTAACGACTGTGTCACTGGCCATGGTGGAAGGAGGTGTAATGAGTGTGTCCAAGGGTATTATGGACAACCAGAAAATATAACGGTGAGTAAAAGTTTGAAAGCAGTCAGGCATTTTTGCTGCAATCAGTGCCATAGTGCATTGGCATCTTCTTATCCATGGAAAATGGACAGAGGGATTTCATTCTGACTATCATAGTTCCCACAGGGAGCCATCCCCACTCTGAACATTTTAGCATTCACTTCTTGAAAGCTTAAAATATGAGATAGCAAAAGACAGATAAAACACTTCAAAATTGGTATGCAGCTTATAAAATAAATCCATTGGCTTCACATTTTGTAATTGTAATAGAAATGTTTACCTTTTATCCCCAGAACAATAGAGGACAGTGTCGCCCATGTCAGTGTAATGGCAGAGCCAGTCTGTGTGACACGGTGACGGGGGACTGTATCAACTGTGTCAACAATACCGCTGGGAGGGAGTGTCAAATATGTGCCCCTGGGTACTTTGGGAATGCCATGGAGGGCACTTGCCAAGGTAAACGCCTAGTAGGCTAATTTTTAAAAAAATTTTTTCAGGTTTTTAAAAATGGTTAATGTTTTATGAAGTTTAATTCTAGCAGAGTTATAGAACCATCTTCTAGATTCTGAAAGTTTTGTTTTTGATTAGTTTTAAAAGTTTTTTAGAGATAGAGTGTGAGGCACATTGTGACAACTTAAACTTCAGTTTAATTTTCTGAAAATCCAGAGGCACAATAAGAGTGAAAAAAGATAATTATGAAGCTTGCAGCATAAACTAGATAATAATGAAAGATAATTATGAAGCTTGCAGCATAAACTAGATAATAATGAAAGGGAAAATTGGTACAAATTCCATTCATGATGTAAAGCAAACTGACACTTTTCCTCAATATATAGCAAACTAAAAGGAACTTTTCATCTTCAGCCTGCTCCTGCTCTAACAGCGCGGGATCTACAGGAGAATGCGATCCAGTGACAGGACGCTGCGTCTGTCTGCCCAATGTGGAGGGGGACAGCTGTGAGCGATGTGTGACCAACGCCTACAACTACAGCAGTAGTCAGGGCTGTACTCAGTGTAACTGTCATCCTCAGGGTGCTCTCAGTCCACAGTGTAATCTGGTAAGTATATAACTACAGCAGTAGTCAGGGCTGTACTCAGTGTAACTGTCATCCTCAGGGTGCTCTCAGTCCACAGTGTAACCTGGTAAGTATATAACTACAGCAGTAGTCAGGGCTGTACTCAGTGTAACTGTCATCCTCAGGGTGCTCTCAGTCCACAGTGTAATCTGGTAAGTATATAACTACAGCAGTAGTCAGGGCTGTACTCAGTGTAACTGTCATCCTCAGGGTGCTCTCAGTCCACAGTGTAACCTGGTAAGTATATAACTACAGCAGTAGTCAGGGCTGTACTCAGTGTAACTGTCATCCTCAGGGTGCTCTCAGTCCACAGTGTAATCTGGTAAGTATATAACTACAGCAGTAGTCAGGGCTGTACTCAGTGTAACTGTCATCCTCAGGGTGCTCTCAGTCCACAGTGTAACCTGGTAAGTATATAACTACAGCAGTAGTCAGGGCTGTACTCAGTGTAACTGTCATCCTCAGGGTGCTCTCAGTCCACAGTGTAATCTGGTAAGTATATAACTACAGCAGTAGTCAGGGCTGTACTCAGTGTAACTGTCATCCTCAGGGTGCTCTCAGTCCACAGTGTAACCTGGTAAGTATATAACTACAGCAGTAGTCAGGGCTGTACTCAGTGTAACTGTCATCCTCAGGGTGCTCTCAGTCCACAGTGTAATCTGGTAAGTATATAACTACAGCAGTAGTCAGGGCTGTACTCAGTGTAACTGTCATCCTCAGGGTGCTCTCAGTCCACAGTGTAACCTGGTAAGTATATAACTACAGCAGTAGTCAGGGCTGTACTCAGTGTAACTGTCATCCTCAGGGTGCTCTCAGTCTCCAGTGTGATCTAGTATGTTCAATTATATATAAGAAAAAACTAGATACGTTTTGAAAAAAACTTTGTCATTGTTTGGGTCTACACAACAGTGGAATGCAATCAAAACTTAAGACTGTGATTTATAATACACTTGAGCAGACATGCACTAATACTGCACATGTCCCTCTGTACTCTGTGAAAATGTGTGTTAAATATTTTCCAGGTAACAGGTCAGTGTGCCTGCAGGAATAATGTGGAGGGACAGAGATGTGACAGGTGTACTGAGACATTCTACAACATCAATGTTGTCACAGGATGTGATGGTAAGTGATCTAGTGACACCTCCCTTCCCTACACACACACACGCATGCACGCACGCACACACACACACACACACACACACACACACACACGCATGAACACACACGTACAGCTGAGGCTTTGTCGATAATTTTTGCATGCCATGTATAGCAGAATGTGTGTGTGTGTGTGTGTGTACGTACATGTGTGTGTGTATGTGTGTGTGTACGTACATGTTTGTGTGTGTATGTGTGTGTGTGTACTTACATGTGTATGTGAGGAGGAAAACAAAGGAAAGATAACTGAGTGAGATATAGTGATAAAGAGAGAAAACAAGAGATTTTGTGTTGTTTGATTGACATTTTAAATATGTGTGGACACAACCAAAATATTTATATTTAATTATGAAAAGGCTGCCACACACTAGTTTATTGCTCTGACAAGATATATACAAAGACCATTATCGCTTCCAGTCTGCAAGTGTAACAACCAGGGCACGGCCACAGTGCCTGGTCAGACCTTTGGGACATGTGACCAAGTGACCGGTCAGTGCACCTGCTCCAGTCCCTCCATCACTGGACGCCAGTGTGACCAGTGTGCTGCGGGAACCAGTGGTAAGTTCAGGAGACAGATATGACTACAGTCTTCTTTGGTTTATTCTGGAATTCAGTCATTTGGGTGTTGTATTTTTATTCCCTGCCCTGAAGTCTCCATACAGAGCTGTATGTTTTCATCACATTTTCTAGTTATTTTTTAAAGTGCTATTTTATCATTGTATAGATTTCAAGTACCTGTTATTTTTGTTTAGTTATTTTCCTTATGATATGTGTGTATTTAACAGTATATGTGAATGTGTACCATGATTTAATAAATGTATCTCACGGATTGTACATCAAGATCTTTACAGTTAGAAGAGAAAAAATTCTGTCTGGTCAGGACATTAAAAAATTGAAACACACCAGATATTCTACACTAACTCCACAATATGATATTCTTTAGAATTATCCTGATTTTAAGGCTAATGAATTGCTTTTAATTTCAGTTGAATACAACTATGTCAGTGGAGTCACTGTTGGTGAGTAAATTGAAAAGTAGCCACCACATTTAATCTTTAGATATTGCTGCAACTGTAAAAACTTTTTCATTTGTGTATTCATGAAGACTCTTATTCAAGAATATCAAATACCAGACATTTCTATGGAGACCCCCTTCCAAAGATGAAATTGACTTTGGTTGTGAAAGGGCTAATTTTTTTTTAAGTTAAGATTTTTGTGAGTGTTTTCCTGCTTTACAAGGCCTAAATCAACAAATCAACTTTTTGAAACTGGAGGTCCAGATTTGCTAAAAACCATGCCTGTATATTCCCAGGCACATTTCCTGCCTGTCCTCTCTGTGGCAATTGCTTTGATACTTGGGCCAAGAAGATAGATGCCATTGGAGCCGCTTTCTCAGAACAATATGCTATAGTCCTCAATATATGGAGACATTATGGTAAGTGAAACTAGTCCTCAATATATGGAGACATTATGGTAAGTGAAACTGTTTCAAAATAACTGAAAAGATTATGACAGTTCTCTGTTGTATGATTATATCTCATATTTTTTAACAACTGTAGCAAGATCAACAAAATAAATACATTATGTGTTATTTCCTTCTGTTTTAGTAAGTTATATTGCCATTTAGTTATGTTTTAGCTATAAATACTGTTCACAAGATTGTATGTAGATGGTATATGATGATTTTTTACAGACAGTAATGATTATTTACCCCCCCCCCTCCAAAAAAGAAAAGTGAACTTTTTAGTAATGAATCATTTATAGAATTAAAATATAACTCTTTAATTTCAGACAACTTGACCTCAGCTCACTATGCCTCAGTGCTGCAATCTCTGGAACAGAACATCACTGGGACCCAAGGCTCCATCACCAGAGTACAGGAGATGAGTGCCAGGCTACAGTACCTCACCCAGGGGTTCCAGCAGGTGAGCCCCGTCCACTGAGTCTAACCCAAAAGCAGACTTAGGGACCATTCACAGTGCACTTTGTCCACCTAGCTAATATGTACTCCATGAAGACCCTTACTGAATGCAATTAGATGAGCAGACTAACACGTCTTCTCTTGTTTCCAGTGTACATGTATTATGATTTAGTAATCACCAGCTTTTCTATGTTCTACTCAGCTTTAGGGAGAAGCATGTTATTCTGTCAGTCTGATTGCATTCAGCAAGTGTCCCTGTGGAGTTAGCCCCCATTAGCTAGGTTGACATTGATTAATTGTGGATGGTCCCTTAAATTGTTATTGTACACCTGTGTATTACTGGGTATAAGTTTTATCCATCATGGATCAGCAAGTTCAGCCAATGTTACACTGGTGATGGTGCACAGTTTTTGTTTTGGTCATACAGCTTACTTCTCATTAAAGCAATCACAATCTTTTATTTCTCCACCAAAGTTATTTTTCTCTTACATATTGTGAAAATATTCTTAGCTAGTGTGATGTCCACATGTTATGGATTCAGTATTTCCTACACTTTAAGACAATAGTTTGAAGTTCCCCAGAAGGTATTGTAGGAAGATATATTTTTGTTACTTGAAGATAGGATACGACTGATTTTTAAAATTTTTCAACTCAAGTGTTTGGGCAGTCGCATCACACATTGTGAGTTTACATTAGCTGTTTTACATTACTGCACATTATATATTTTTTTCTGATGGGATATTTTCTAATGGTTATATGTTGTTTACAGATTATAGTGAATTTTATTGTACTTTTTTGATATATGTGAATATGTATTTAAAACTTTCACACTTTTGTCATGTACATCAAACTGTGCACACCTTATGGTCCTAATTTTTATTTATTGTGTCATATTAGATTGAAGATATGGTAATGTATAGCTAGTTTATGACTCTTCTGTTATATTTGGCTGTCTCCTGTTGACAGCTGGATTTCAAAGTTTCTTTCGATTGAAGTTTGTTTGATGTATGGGAGTGTTATGAACAACAGTTAAATTTTGGTGATCTTTATCCTGAGTTGAAATTAATTTACATTTTTATTTATTTGTTTGTATGAGATTATTATTTGAATAGAAGACTGTGATAGATTGGGATTTGGAGTGATGTTCTAGCATATTGGTTTTTGAGCCATGTGAAAATATATATTCCTACTTAGTCCAGCACTTATAAATATTTTAAATATGTCATGTGGTACCTCATTTTGTACAGTTTAAGTTTTTTACATCTGTTTCAAGATGACTTAGAAAAAATAATAAAATGAGGAAGAACAATGAGACACATATGATATGAGAAATATTGTCATCTTTTCAATCAACAAATTTACAGAATTTGTCTTTGTTTGGTTATTTTGTTACTAGTTAATGTTTTTTTTTTAATTTATCTGTGTCAGATTACCACAGAGGTGGAGCAGTTAACAAGTATTCTGCAGACTATTGAAGCTGATAAGGCACTTATACAACAGTCAGTGGAGATGACAAGACAGTTCACAGGAATAGTGGAGGTAAATAAATGTTAGGAAAAACAAGTACAATTTTTTTGTAAGTTATTCAATTTTTTAGACAAAATGCCATTTAGTTTTGGTAACATAATTATTTATTTCTTTTCTTCAAATTCAAATACAATGGATTTAACATACCCAGTTAACATTACTCAGTTTAGTCAAAATATTAACAGGAAAGCAAATGGCTCAAAGACGCTCTGATACAATCCCTTTTATGACATACATCACAAATTCCAGCATGGTATGTCCTCAAAATAAGTTGAACATTTTCATTGGTATAGGTGGAGCCAGGTGTGTTCAGAAATGCCAGTGATCTTCAACTGGCCTTGAACTTAGCCAGGACAAGCCACAGTCAGAGTCTGGTGGCTGGCAACACATCATTCACACTGATACAGAATCTGACGCAGACAATCATGGTCACTAATGCCACAATGAAGCTGCTAGTGGACAGGGTCAGCAGAGAGATGACCACTCTGAATGCAGCTATGCAAGATAGGCTGGCATCTGATAGGTAAAGGGAACTGCTTTTACTTTAGTTATCGTAATTTGCTATTTTTGAATGTAGCACGTTTACAAATGACAGTGGCAAAATACAATAAAGACAAAGTATATGTACCTTTATTTATTTTTCCAAAGTACTGTAACTATTTCCTAATTGTTAAAATTGGGAGGATATTGTATACCTTGTGAACATGTTTAAAGGTAAAAAAAAATCTTCATACAAAAATAGGCTTTTACATGGCTATTTTCCTTTTCCCTTTTATGGCAGTATACTGAGTGGGACAATAAAATCGGACTATCAGAGCCTGTCCCAGATTTTTAGCACACTCAACAATGATCTTGCACAGGTGCAGCAGAGAGTGGCATCCTTACAGAGTGTCATAGCCACTGCCTCTGCTACAGTTACTTCAGCCAATCAGACAGCAACACAGGCCATTTCCATAGCAACAAGAAATCAAGGTCAAGTCCAGGTCAAAGTGACAGAAAGTCAGGTGACCAAGTTCAATGCTACGCAGTCCCAGAGGGCAGCACTGACAGCCCAAAGTGCAGCACTTAGTTACAGGGTTAGTTTCTTTTCATGGCTCTATTTGAAGAAAGGAAAATTATGTTTTGGGGAATGTCATAAAAAGAAATAGACACGTTGGCTTGGTATTACATAACTGTCCTCTTTGTTTTTTTATTCATAACTGTGTTCCAAGTTGAGAAAGCAGTTTGTTAAACATGCTGAATGATGTACTATATTTTCTCCAGGACTTGGCTGTCAGCAGCCGAGAGAATATCACCAAGGCTCTTCAGAAGAGCAAGTCTGCAATTTCTGACCTCCAGAATGTGAAGGACAAGACAGCTCAAGCTAACAGTCTCGCCAGTGATGCTCTCAATATAAACCTGAGAACTCTAAATGAAATCAAGGCTATCACTGGAGAGATCAACAACACCCAGGTGTCCCAGGCCAGTGTGTCCTCCACATTTAACAGTGCCACAGAAGCACTGAGGCTGGCGCAGGAGGCACTGAATATCACACAGACAGCTGTGTGAGTGAGATTGTCTTTTTTGTCAGATGGATTTTTTTTCTTTTAGCCATTCTTAACTTGACAGATAGTGCCCCACCACACATGGTATTAATTTTCTATGTTGATAGTGTAAAATTAAAATAGGCAGACCATTTTAGAAGACACCTTTATCTTTGAAAAGCATCTTGATAGCAGTCAGGTTTACATTTTTTAAATTATTTTAAACAATTTTTTGCATTATTTATAAAAAAAAGGTATTCAAACCATTTGTCAAAGGTTGTTTAGTAATAAACCTTTCAGGATGATGGATTCATATTATATTCAGTCGCTACATTCCAGTACCATCCTCCATGCCAAAAAAATTTGGGAGGGGGGGCAAAATACACACACCTATATTTACCTGTACTTCTACCTGTCTTCAGACCAATTCTAACTGCTATTTCAGTGAGGAATCTCATATGGCTCTGGAACAAGTGCGTACTATCCAGGGAAACTTAGAGCAGGCCGCTCTCCTTCAGAACCATACCCAGGTGCTGATGAACAGGTCTGATGACCACATCAACACAGTGAACAGGGTCAGCGCACAGGTACATGTATGACCTAGCTGATATACTACATTCAGCACATATGTTTTATGTAGATTTAGATTTGTTACTGCTGTTGAAAAGATCGACTCTGATGTTTACATGGTGACCAGGGTCGCTGCGGAGGTAAGATCAAGCTTGTACATTATACTGTATTCAGCAAATTTGTGTAGGTTTGAATTTGTTATTGCCATTAAAGATCTGATGACTATGTCAGCACAATGAACAGGGGAAATAATGTCAACATGTTTTAGTAATTATTCAAAAATTAAAATTGAAAGCTTGATTATTATTTTATTGTAATTTAAATTTGATTGTAATTTATAATTATTGATCCATTAGCCTATGTTTTAAACTTTAACACATGCAATTAAGATTTTAATTTGTAAGTATTCAAGTTTAATATATCAAGTCACCTCGTCTTCCTTCAGGTGTCAGCCAAAGCTTCCAGTGCCTCCAGCCAAGCCATCGGCACATCCCAGGCACTGAGCCGTGTGTTTAATGTGATCACGTCCACAGAGCAGTGCTTTGTGTCAGCCACTCGTGCTGCGCAGGCGGCTAACACACAGGCTGGAGGTGCCTTCATTATGGCACAGTCTGCACACCAGGTAGGCAGAACTTGATTGTGTCAAAGTCTCATTCATTCAGGAAGTTGTAATTTTAAAGAACTCTTGTTACTGAACAAATAGAATAGTTTTGATATCCAATAAAACTGCAGCATTTGTGTCTGTTATATCACTTGCAGTCTTCAGGTACAATCTGAGATATTAATCTGGGATTTGTAACATCAACAAACTGAATATCTCATTCTCTATAACTACTCTTAATCACAGCGGACATAGCAGTTCTCTGTAATTCACCAGGCCAGACTTCCAAGACTAACCTTTTCTCTGAAACTAGATCTATATGATGGGGGGCATACCACCTACCTTTGATACACCAAGACAGATCAGCCTCCATCCTTCTTTATGTCTACATATTTATAACAACCCTCTTCAACTGTACATATTAAGCTAGACATAAGAATGTCATATGAAGACAACTTAAGTCTTACTGTTTGTTTGTATTCACAATCTGTATTAATATTTCATGCCGTGTGTCTCAGGTAAATCAAGCCAACCAAGCCAGGCTTCAGAATCTCACCACATCAGGCCAGTCTCGCTCTACGGCCACTACGGCTGCCCAGAGTGAACTGGGGACCGTAAGGGAGGATATGTCCCAACTCCAGACAGACTTTAGCTCCATAGAGAGCAGTTTACAGAATGACCCACTTATCAGAAGCGTGGCAGGTGGGTTGACTCTGTTTAAAATCTGTAGTAGAAGAGAGAACTATACTCATTTACACATACTCTGTATAAATTGTTTATGATCTATGGTAATGACTAGAATCTTTTCAAAGGGGAAAAAATTACCAATTTTTCAGATACATGATTTTAAAATCATTAGAAGTATATTTCTGTATAGAATTTGTGGTCCTTTTTCTGTGTAAAATAAAGTTATAAGGAAGCTAGTTTTTCAGTTTTGTTGCTACCACTCAATAAGAATATTCTAATTTTAAAAATTTATGACTTGAAAAATACAATATCTGTAAAATTAATATTTTTTTGCCATTGAAAAGTTCAAGTCATTACTGTATATCAGTTGTTTTTTGTTGTTAATATATGTAAACCAATACATTTTCACAATCAGGGTACTGTAATTATGTAAATAATGGTAACTATTCTTATAGTCATATCTGGACTGGGTTTGCTCTGTACAGAACTGTACCCATCATGCCTTGGGTATCTTTTATGCTGTAAATTTTTGTCTTTCCTGGAATTAGAATACACATGTTTATTAGGTCAAAAAGAGAACAACAAAATTTCTTTGTCATTTCTTGTTTTCATGTTGAGTGCAAACTATTAAAAAAACTTAAGATATTTAGGCTGTGTTTTTAAAATTTCAGCTCTTCTTGATGAATATGGACTCCAAAGACAGGAGATGCAGCAGCTAGAGGCAGAGATTAACACTATGGAGACAGAACTGGACACCTTGCTGCAAGACTTGGAGGGGGTGGACCCTGCCGCTGAAAACTGTAATGTTAACTGAGAAGTTGTGCCTCAGGTTGAATATAGTAAAAAGAAATAGTATAATTTGTTTGCTCTGTTATAAATATTATTATTATTATTATTATAATCAACATAACAGCAATTACAAGTGTACTTGCTTCTGAATAGTGCTACATGTACCTAGAATATTTTTGTGTCTAACCAGACACTTGCTAGGGGGCTAGTTTATTTTTATTAAAACGCACCCTTCGTGGTTGCATTTATTTCCTTCTAATCTGTGCCACCATAGATTTGGTAGAAGATAGAGAAAGTGTTTTGAAAATACCAGAGGCATAAGTCACTGGTTGTATGGTTTAGGATAATGCAGCTGATGATTAAGGAATCATTTAATGACAAACCATGTAGATATTATGAATGGTTCAAATGACAGATGTTTAGCTAATATTGTAGCTTGAAGGTAGGAAGCATCCTCTTCTTGTTCATAATATACCTACATAATAAAGCAGGCACAAGGTAGCTTAATGGTAGTAATATGGTAGAAGAATGTATGGATATATTTTTCATGAAGTTTTAATATTTATATTTGAGGAAGATGATTTATCCAAAAGACAGTTCTTATTACATTATTGTTGCATTTGAACTCTTTTCTTTAAAGATCTGCAGATTAGAATTTATTTACTCATACCATTTTAAGAAAACTTTTAATAACTGTGAGAATCTCCTTAAGATTTGGAAAAGGGTATTGATAGCCAAATAAAGTGGTTCTAAGACTCATGCTTTTATTTTCTGTAAAAAAAATGGTTGTTTAAAATAATACTTTTGGGTTGAGTAACAGGGTATTTGACGTCCAACATAAGGGTATTCTGCATTTGTGAATTTTAGATGACATTAGTAGCAAATATAAGGAAAGGGAGAAGAGTTCACACAATATGCAAAATGTCAACATTCCATATCATAAACTCGTTAAATGCAACCAGTGATATTGACCTATTCATGATATTCATAATGATCCATAAAGGAGAATACATTGATATTTATTCTGATCTTTTATTGTTATTTGATTTTAATCAATGCTTTTTGTTTGTGGACTTTGTACAAAGGTTTATAGTTATATACTCAAGAGAAACATGGGCAATCATTAGTTTTTTCTATATAGATTCTTATTGTATAAAGTTTTACCATGATATCCCAGTTACAAAATAATGAAAGAGAAAGTTTTAACATAGATACCTGTAACTAGTGATTATGAAAAAAAAAGGAAAAAGATGCAAACTGATGGACTAAGTTAGGTTTGAATTGTGTCAAAAAAAATCATCATTATAGGGATCATAGCCCAAAGATTAGCTAAAGATGTTGAGAATGATCTAGTCATAATAATTAAAAAGTTTATTTAAATTTATATGGGTTATTCTGAAACTGTATGAAGTCTTCAAGTTAAATGGTCCCAATGTTTATTTTAATCAGTAAAAATTAGATGTTTATGAGAATAGGAGAGGTGTCCTCATTTAAAAATTCGATTATTTTTATAATTTAGAAACGCTCATATGTATCATATCTGAAGTTATCTGACAAGGGATTGATCAATGATGCATCTTGAGTTTGTTATGCAGGTTGTTTCTGTGTTTGGTTTAAGTTTGTTAGACTTGGTGTTTGTTAATTATACAAAGTACTTTGATGTGAGTATCTCATTACTGAGTTATTTAGAATAACACTATAAAATGTTGATATGAAATATCACACTTTAAAATGATTTTGTGTCATTTTTAGAATGTTTAGATCTGTTATTTTTACTTTAATTGTTTAGGTATCTTTAAGAATTTTTGTTTTAAGATTTGGAATTAAATCTTCATAAGAAGAGATATTGGTATAAGGGAGGTACATTGGATATTAACAGTCAAATGCAACAACTTTTTTTTTACTTTTGATACACATTTTGCATAGGTGGTATATACTAGATTATTAGAGACAATGGTTTTTATATATAAAAACTGCAGTCTAGGTTTTGGACTTGTACTTTATTTATGGTCTGCTTTTTCTTTTGTGTGAATTCTTATGACTGTTTTTTACATATATGTAGATATCCCAATACCTTATATATAACATATTTTGTGTGATTTTGGAAATTTTCATTTAAGGTTCATGTTATCTAATAATCAAACTAGATTATGGCAAATTTTGGTGATTGAAATATGAGTTAAAGGTTGTGAGTAACTTCTTATAAATCTACATTTATCACAGATATTCTATATATTTATGTATACAAGAACAATAAATTCCGTCCAGAAATGGTGGCCATTACTTTTTGCTTTAGAACTATTAACTATGAATTAATTATGTATATCTGTTCAAGCTCAAGGAAGTGCAAGTAAAGATTATTTGAAAAAATGTGGTCGTTTTTTATTGTTATTTTAAAACTACTTTTCAATTGGGCTAAAAAGACCCCTTTTTCATTTATACTACCATTCTGTTACAGCACCTTTATGCCCAGAGACTTAGCAGTCTAGTAATTAAACAACTTCAGTTGGAAAAAATTTATTTTTATTATTCAAGCGATCGATTTCTAGGATAGCTGCGATAGACTAAACAATACATTTTTGGTATGAAATTTATATTATTTGAGATATTTCAACACGACGTCAGCTGTTTTCCTGTCACTTACATGTATATATAGAATAAAGGTATGACATAAAACATATTAGTCAAAAAAATATAAGCAATGGCTATCAAAAGTTTTTAAAACATTAAACTACAAATTCAAACCTAACCAACTAAATAACAAAGCCAAAGCAAAAGTCAAAACTCGCATGAGTAGGGTTCGTACTGCAACGCTCTTCTCACATTCTATGCACAATTGATAACAGAACACCTTCCTTTTTCAGTTTTATTTCACATTCTGGCAATCCAGTTTAATGGCATATTTGCGATATCGGCCTTTCATTTGTTATCAAACTTGAGAAAAACATCTATCTGGGAACTCCGCTTCAATGCACGTCTTCAGTTGACTCCTTCCTCGTGCTGTGGTAGAACTTCCCTTTGGCTTGCGGCATATTTTCTCTGAAGACAAATTAGATATGTTTTATGAGTATTTCCTTCTGACTGTTTCCCCATGTTATTAAAATTAAAAATTCCAACAATTTAAAACCAGTACTTCATCTCGTAAGATAGAAAAGAATTATAGCATACCAACAGGGTATTTCCCTATAACAAGAGACAGAATGCCGCTTAACAAAGTGTAAAGGGTGCGTTATTTTAAATCGTTCTTAAGGAGTTGCACGTACGCCTTAAGTGATAATGATAAATTAAGGCGACCACACACGCGCACACGCACACTCTCTCTCTCTCTCACACACACACACACACACACACACACACACACACACGTGCTCACCTTGTCTATATGTTTGAAGTACATAATTTCCACTCCTAACAGTATTCCGGCAATGATGGCCCCGATTAGAAGGAGTATCAGTGGACCCCAAAAGACTCCCAGTGACACCTGTTCATATATAAAATATAAAATATAAATCTGTTCATCACAGGGCAATGTTGTAACTAACTTGTATTAGTGTTTTGATTACCTATTCCTAATAATTGATTTCTTAAGTAATTGTTTTATGTATATGTAAAGTCTTCTGAACATGTTATAATGAATCTCAGACTCAAAATAAATTTATTATTATAATAATTATCGTCAATTTTAGGCACGCGTATAGTTCAACATCAAAATCAAATATCACTCAAAGTTCTAAATAGGTTAAATTTACAAATAAACAAAAATAAATGAATTAAGTGCGCCTAAAAACCAAAAAAGTCCAAAAATACTTAATAGGCCTATATGTATATACATGCAGATGTATATCAATTTAAAGATATTATAATAATAATAATAATAATAATAATAATAATAATAATAATTTGTAAAATGCATTCATACCATTCCGCTCTCTACAAGGCCCCAAGCGTATACATAGAACTTGGGTGTTGAAGGGAGAGCTGCCTGTTTCTCTTTAAACTCGGCGTTCGCCCCGGTGCACTTTCCTTCGTCTGCGAACCACTTGTCCTGAAAATAATAAATGTTTTCATTACCTTCTAGTAACGAAAGTTTTACTTTTTGTTATAACTGACAAACTGCTATAGTAGATTAAGTATGTGTAAAAAAAAATAGGGCAGTCACGCACAGTGTACGGCATGTACGGAAACTAGAGGAGAATTTACACCCTGTGGACCACTGAAATGTGCATTTAAATCAACAGGCAAAAAGGCATTTTTCTGTTTCCTTAAGAGTTCTAACAACATTCAAATTATAACAACTTTTTTTTTAAATTTTCTGTCGTGAGTGAAGAACAACCAGTGTCATCTTGATGGGGGGAAAATGTTACAATGAATTGGATCAACAACAGCACTAATGGAAAAAGAGCACATTGTAGGAATGTATATTCAAAGAAACCTCATTCCTCATTTATTTGATATTAATGGGTTAACCCTCATATCTATCTATGCTGATATCTTTTCATACCCACCCACTCCAACCTTTTCCCTTTACTCAGTAGTTCTCATAAAATTCGGTTTGTAACTGTGAGAATACGTATGTTACGTCTCTAAGGAAAATCACATGACTTGCGTTTTCCATTTACACTGACAATCAAGTTGTGTCATTTTCATAGGAAAAAAACACCGTGTTACTTTCAAAGGCAAAAAAAAACAACATTTTTTTACAAACCAACTCACTTCCATATCACGAAGTCTTCCCGATTCCTCTAGCTTGAGCGCCGCTATCTGCAGTACTGAAGAGATCTCGCTGTGCAGAGGAAGGGCAAAGCCGTGAGTTTTCTTGTGGATCAGGCCGCCCACAGTCATAAGATCACACTCCTTATTGATGTAGTCGATAAAGGTGCTCATTTCGCCGATGAGGGCGTAGTTACTTGAGCGCACCTGTGGAAAGATATACATGTATTTGATATAAATCAGTGATACGATATGCATTCTTGTGGCAGTGTGGCTATTTCTTTCGTTTGTATAATATAATATAATATAATATAATATAATATAATATAATATAATATAATATAATATACCTTTTCAATTCCCTCCTCTACTGACTTCACCATAACTTTATCCCCTTGGTCATGAAAGTATTTGTTGATACTATTAAAGACTGGACCAGGTAACTTCTTCAAAGTCCTGTGAGTGCTGCCGCCAGTAATGCACCCGTATTCGTATTTATACGGAGGCTGCTGAAAAGCGAGGTCTTCTATGGAGTTGATTTCAGGGTGGGGCAGCCAGCGGTCTGAAAAAAAAAATACACGGATTGATGATCTTTTTTCATCTGTTAATGAATTGGTTAAATAGTATACATGTAAGAATAAATTGAATGCTTGTAATCTTAACAGAAAAGAAATGTATACATGTAGTGCACAAAGTGCTCTTCCATGCTGATCACTGAAATGTCAGATTTTTTCTTCATATTTACAACTGTTCAAATATTTACGAAATATTAAGATGAACATTGGTATTTCTCTCTCTCTCTCTCCTCTCTCTTTCTCTCTCATTCGCTTGCTCGCTCTCTGGCTCTCACCTGTTCGATCAGAAATCAATAACTGTGCGATGACTGCACCAGTATACGCAACGAGAAACAAGACGGCAAAGATCATCCATGTTGCATGTAGAAACCGGGCGGAAATAGAGCGTGGGGCTTGATCAAAACCTGGAGAATATAAATTTCAGAACATATCATGTAGCGTTCGTAATCTAAAGAAGAACTGAGATAAATATTAAAATCATTATAAAAACTTATACTGGAGTTCAGTCAAAGCTCTTGCAGTGTGTAGAACAGTTTCATTAGCTATGTTATT